CTCAATAATTTCGCCAAAAACCAGGTTCTTCGTAGTTTTTTCAAATTCTTTCTGCATATATGATTTTATTATTACTTTTTAACGTATATGCCGTTTAAAATTATTTTCTATCTATTTTATTCTGGCTTGTACGATTTTTTTTGTATTTTTCATTACTTTTACTCAATAATATCGTCTAAAACCAGGTCTTCGAAGTTTTTTCAAATTCTTTCTGCATATATGATTTTATTATTACTTTTTAACGTATATGCCGTTTAAAATTATTTTTCTATCTATTTTATTCTGGCTTGTACGATTTTTTTTGTATTTTTCATTACTTTTACTCAATAATATCGTCTAAAACCATGTTCTTCGAAGTTTTTTCAAATTCTTTCTGCATATATGATTTTATTATTACTTTTTAACGTATATGCCGTTTAAAATTATTTTCTATCTATTTATTCTGGCTTGTACGATTTTTTTTGTATTTTTCATTACTTTTACTCAATAATATCGTCTAAAACCATGTTCTTCGAAGTTTTTTCAAATTCTTTCTGCATATATGATTTTATTATTACTTTTTAACGTATATGCCGTTTAAAATTATTTTCTATCTATTTTATTCTGGCTTGTACGATTTTTTTTGTATTTTTCATTACTTTTACTCAATAATATCGTCTAAAACCATGTTCTTCGAAGTTTTTTCAAATTCTTTCTGCATATATGATTTTATTATTACTTTTTAACGTATATGCCGTTTAAAATTATTTTCTATCTATTTTATTCTGGCTTGTACGATTTTTTTGTATTTTTCATTACTTTTACTCAATAATTTCGCCAAAAACCAGGTTCTTCGTAGTTTTTTCAAATTCTTTATGCATATATGATTTTATTATTACTTTTTAACGTATATGCCGTTTAAAATTATTTTCTATCTATTTTATTCTGGCTTGTACGATTTTTTTTGTATTTTTCATTACTTTTACTCAATAATATCGTCTAAAACCAGGTTCTTCGAAGTTTTTTCAATTCTTTCTGCATATATGATTTTATTATTACTTTTTAACGTATATGCCGTTTAAAATTATTTTCTATCTATTTTATTCTGGCTTGTACGATTTTTTTTGTATTTTTCATTACTTTTACTCAATAATATCGTCTAAAACCATGTTCTTCGAAGTTTTTTCAAATTCTTTCTGCATATATGATTTTATTATTACTTTTTAACGTATATGCCGTTTAAAATTATTTTCTATCTATTTTATTCTGGCTTGTACGATTTTTTTTGTATTTTTCATTACTTTTACTCAATAATATCGTCTAAAACCAGGTTCTTCGAAGTTTTTTTCAAATTCTTTCTGCATATATGATTTTATTATTACTTTTTAACGTATATGCCGTTTAAAATTATTTTCTATCTATTTTATTCTGGCTTGTACGATTTTTTTTGTATTTTTCATTACTTTTACTCAATAATATCGTCTAAAACCATGTTCTTCGAAGTTTTTTCAAATTCTTTCTGCATATATGATTTTATTATTACTTTTTAACGTATATGCCGTTTAAAATTATTTTCTATCTATTTTATTCTGGCTTGTACGATTTTTTTTGTATTTTTCATTACTTTTACTCAATAATATCGCCTAAAACCATGTTCTTCGAAGTTTTTTCAAATTCTTTCTGCATATATGATTTTATTATTACTTTTTAACGTATATGCCGTTTAAAATTATTTTCTATCTATTTTATTCTAGCTTGTACGATTTTTTTGTATTTTTCATTACTTTTACTCAATAATATCGCCTAAAACCATGTTCTTCGAAGTTTTTTCAAATTCTTTCTGCATATATGATTTTATTATTACTTTTTAACGTATATGCCGTTTAAAATTATTTTCAATCTATTTTATTCTGGCTGTACGATTTTTTTTGTATTTTTCATTACTTTTACTCAATAATATCGCCTAAAACCAGGTTCTTCGAAGTTTTTTCAAATTCTTTCTGCATATATGATTTTATTATTACTTTTTAACGTATATGCCGTTTAAAATTATTTTCTATCTATTTTATTCTGGCTTGTACGATTTTTTTTGTATTTTTCATTACTTTTACTCAATAATATCGCCTAAAACCAGGTTCTTCGAGGTTTTTTCAAATTCTTTCTGCATATATGATTTTATTATTACTTTTTAACGTATATGCCGTTTAAAATTATTTTCTATCTATTTTATTCTGGCTTGTACGATTTTTATGTATTTTTCATTACTTTTACTCAATAATATCGCCTAAAACCAGGTTCATCGAAGTTTTTTCAAATTCTTTCTGCATATATGATTTTATTATTACTTTTTAACGTATGTGCCGTTTAAAATTATTTTCTATCTATTTTATTCTGGCTTGTACGATTTTTTTGTATTTTTCATATTACTTTTACTTAATAATATCGCCTAAAACCAGGTTCTTCGAGGTTTTTTCAAATTCTTTCTGCATATATGATTTTATTATTACTTTTTAACGTATATGCCGTTTAAAATTATTTTCTATCTATTTTATTCTAGCTTGTACGATTTTTTTGTATTTTTCATTACTTTTACTCAATAATATCGCCTAAAACCAGGTTATTCGAAGTTTTTTCAAATTCTTTCTGCATATATGATTTTATTATTACTTTTTAACGTATATGCCGTTTTAAAATTATTTTCTATCTATTTTATTCTGGCTTGTACGATTTTTTTGTATTTTTCATTACTTTTACTCAATAATATCGCCTAAAACCATGTTCTGCGAAGTTTTTTCAAATTCTTTCTGCATATATGATTTTATTATTACTTTTTAACGTATATGCCGTTTAAAATTATTTTCAATCTATTTTATTCTGGCTGTACGATTTTTTTTGTATTTTTCATTACTTTTACTCAATAATATCGCCTAAAACCAGGTTCTTCGAAGTTTTTTCAAATTCTTTCTGCATATATGATTTTATTATTACTTTTTAACGTATATGCCGTTTAAAATTATTTTCTATCTATTTTATTCTAGCTTGTACGATTTTTTTTGTATTTTTCATTACTTTTACTCAATAATATCGCCTAAAACCATGTTCTTCGAAGTTTTTTCAAATTCTTTCTGCATATATGATTTTATTATTACTTTTTAACGTATATGCCGTTTAAAATTATTTTCTATCTATTTTATTCTAGCTTGTACGATTTTTTTGTATTTTTCATTACTTTTACTCAATAATATCGCCTAAAACCATGTTCTTCGAAGTTTTTTCAAATTCTTTCTGCATATATGATTTTATTATTACTTTTTAACGTATGTGCCGTTTAAAATTATTTTCTATCTATTTTATTCTGGCTTGTACGATTTTTTTGTATTTTTCATATTACTTTTACTTAATAATATCGCCTAAAACCAGGTTCTTCGAGGTTTTTTCAAATTCTTTCTGCATATTTGATTTTATTATTACTTTTTAACGTATATGCCGTTTAAAATTATTTTCTATCTATTTTATTCTGGCTTGTACGATTTTTTTGTATTTTTCATTACTTTTACTCAATAATTTCGCCAAAAACCAGGTTCTTCGTAGTTTTTTCAAATTCTTTATGCATATATGATTTTATTATTACTTTTTAACGTATATGCCGTTTAAAATTATTTTCTATCTATTTTATTCTGGCTTGTACGATTTTTATGTATTTTTCATTACTTTTACTCAATAATATCGCCTAAAACCAGGTTCATCGAAGTTTTTTCAAATTCTTTCTGCATATATGATTTTATTATTACTTTTTAACGTATATGCTGTTTTAAAATTATTTTCTATCTATTTTATTCGGGCTTGTATGATTTTTTTGTATTTTTCAATACTTTTACTCAATAATATCGCCAAAAACCAGGTTCTTCGAAGTTTTTTCAAATTCTTTCTGCATATATGATTTTATTATAACTTTTTAACGTATATGCCGTTTAAAATTATTTTCTATCTATTTTATTCTAGCTTGTACGATTTTTTTGTATTTTTCATTACTTTTACTCAATAATATCGCCTAAAACCATGTTCTGCGAAGTTTTTTCAAATTCTTTCTGCATATATGATTTTATTATTACTTTTTAACGTATATGCCGTTTTAAAATTATTTTCTATCTATTTTATTCTGGCTTGTACGATTTTTTTGTTATTTTCATTACTTTTACTCAATAATATCGCCAAAAACCAGGTTCTTCGAAGTTTTTTTTAAATTCTTTCTGCATATATGATTTTATTATTACTTTTTAACGTATATGCCGTTTAAAATTATTTTCTATCTATTTTATTCTAGCTTGTACGATTTTTTTGTATTTTTCATTACTTTTACTCAATAATATCTCCTAAAACCATGTTCTTCGAAGTTTTTTCAAATTCTTTCTGCATATATGATTTTATTATTACTTTTAACGTATATGCCGTTTAAAATTATTTTTTATCTATTTTATTCTAGCTTGTACGATTTTTTTGTATTTTTCATTACTTTTACTCAATAATTTCGCCAAAAACCAGGTTCTTCGTAGTTTTTTCTAATTCTCTCTGCATATATGATTTTATTATTACTTTTTAACGTATATGCCGTTTAAAATTATTTTCAATCTATTTTATTCTGGCTTGTACGATTTTTTTGTATTTTTCATTACTTTTACTCAATAATATCGCCTAAAACCATGTTCTGCGAAGTTTTTTCAAATTCTTTCTGCATATATGATTTTATTATTACTTTTTAACGTATATGCCGTTTAAAATTATTTTCTATCTATTTTATTCTGGCTTGTACGATTTTTTTGTTATTTTCATTACTTTTACTCAATAATATCGCCAAAAACCAGGTTCTTCGAAGTTTTTTTTAAATTCTTTCTGCATATATGATTTTATTATTACTTTTTAACGTATATGCCGTTTAAAATTATTTTCTATCTATTTTATTCTAGCTTGTACGATTTTTTTGTATTTTTCATTACTTTTACTCAATAATATCTCCTAAAACCATGTTCTTCGAAGTTTTTTCAAATTCTTTCTGCATATATGATTTTATTATTACTTTTTAACGTATATGCCGTTTAAAATTATTTTTTATCTATTTTATTCTAGCTTGTACGATTTTTTTGTATTTTTCATTACTTTTACTCAATAATTTCGCCAAAAACCAGGTTCTTCGTAGTTTTTTCTAATTCTCTCTGCATATATGATTTTATTATTACTTTTTAACGTATATGCCGTTTAAAATTATTTTCAATCTATTTTATTCTGGCTGTACGATTTTTTTTGTATTTTTCATTACTTTTACTCAATAATATCGCCTAAAACCAGGTTCTTCGAAGTTTTTTCAAATTCTTTCTGCATATATGATTTTATTATTACTTTTTAACGTATATGCCGTTTAAAATTATTTTCTATCTATTTTATTCTAGCTTGTACGATTTTTTTGTATTTTTCATTACTTTTACTCAATAATATCGCCTAAAACCATGTTCTTCGAAGTTTTTTCAAATTCTTTCTGCATATATGATTTTATTATTACTTTTTAACGTATGTGCCGTTTAAAATTATTTTCTATCTATTTTATTCTGGCTTGTACGATTTTTTTGTATTTTTCATATTACTTTTACTTAATAATATCGCCTAAAACCAGGTTCTTCGAGGTTTTTTCAAATTCTTTCTGCATATATGATTTTATTATTACTTTTTAACGTATATGCCGTTTAAAATTATTTTCTATCTATTTTATTCTAGCTTGTACGATTTTTTTGTATTTTTCATTACTTTTAATCAATAATATCGCCTAAAACCAGGTTATTCGAAGTTTTTTCAAATTCTTTCTGCATATATGATTTTATTATTACTTTTTAACGTATATGCCGTTTAAAATTATTTTCTATCTATTTATTCTGGCTTGTACGATTTTTTTGTATTTTTCATTACTTTTACTCAATAATATCGTCTAAAACCAGGTTCTAGAGACATATTTATTTAGGTAATTCGATGAATTCATGCGGCGTATTTTAATGTGTTTTATAAAGAAACTTTCTCGTTTATTTACGAAAGTTGAACGATCCAATTATTTCGCCACCTACAAAAGCGGGATACACATCTTCCTACTTTGTGTATAATATTGATGAAGAAAGGAAAGAATCGACGAGGATTTCGATAATTGCGCTAAGAAATTAACTTATTTCGAATTCACGCCAACGAATTTCAGATGTTTATCAATCCCATGGAATAAATATAATCGGCTTTCGAATCATTTTTTTTTCGGCCATCGTAAATATGCATATCTAGCGTTAACAATCTACGTTTTCGGGCAAAACCGAAAAAAAAAAACGGCATTTAAACCTAAATCAGGATTGGGACATGTAAAACGTTGGTGAAAAGAAACAAAACTAATCGATGAAAACTTTTCAACACAAATCAATTGTTCCACGAACTGGTAATATTTCGTAGAGGAGTTTTGTTTTATGAACAGCAGGAGCTTTGACAAGCGAACTTTCTAATTATTTACCAACAATCATCAATATTTGGAATTAAAAGAATTATATTTGAATAATGCGTTTAGTACACACGATTTCTAAGGAGGGCGATAAATGTTTCGTACATTCAGCTAAGAGGAGTGACATTAAAGGCTTAGGAATTGTTGAATTCTTGTATGAAAGGGAGACAAGGAAAACGTTCTAAATTAGATCTATGTGTTTACTTAACGTCTCTAGTGTATGTTAATAAACAGATTGAAATTTTAGTTGAAAACTACACGTTTACAACTAAAATTAATTATAAACAAATTTAGCAGAAGTAAACTGTACATAAAATGAAAGTTAAGTAGGCAAGTTCGCTGTGACAAATTGCATAAATCAAGAAACACATTAATTTCCTAAATATTTTTTTAATCACTCTTAGATACAAAGCTGAAGTTTTGTATTTAACATACTGGCACCATTAGCTCATAGTTAAATAAAACATCTATTATTATTATTTGTTATGAATGAATTAATAGGTATAAAGTATCGCAGTTTTCGCTTTGATTTTTAAGTATCTAACAAGGTTTATGAATAAATGTAAAGCAATTAAAATTTTAGTTCTGCTGACAATGTTTACTATAACCTTAATTAAAATAATTATTTGATCGTTAATTCTGTACGATATAAATTACTTGTGGACTTAAGTAACGTTATTTATCTTTTGTTTTTGTTTTAAAACATGGTGTTATTGAAATTTGGAAGGCTTAACCTTGATAAATTACAGTTTCTTCTGTAACGATCCGATCCTAGCAGGAAATACTTTAGGAAATAATAGACGTATTTAAATTATAAATAAGCAATTAGAAATAGGAGACCCCATAAGGAAACTTAAACAATGCTAATTAAAAATAATATTTGTAAAGCACTCACCGTCTGAGAACTTTAATTTCATTTTCAAGTGAATCTTCTTTTCCTTTGAGAGCTTTTTTATCGATAATTTTTACTGCATGCATAACACCATGATTTTCCTTGCTCTCTGCTAATCGAACTACCGAGAATGCCCCACTAAAAGTGTAATATATTATGTATATAAAAAAATTTCTCTACCTAATAACTTAGATCAAAACTTACGTTCCTAATAATTCCTTCAAGTAATATTTGTCTTCCAAGCATGGTTTATCACTGTCTTTAGGTTCCTTCTTGGGTTTCTTCTCCTTACCAAATAAAGGCATTGTTTTATTTTTCTTTCACAGTGTTACTGGCTAACATAAATGCACGATAGTTTTCAAAAACTTAATCAAGGCAATAACATTACAAATGCCAATAATAAAAAATTCTCTTTGTTGCTAACGTATCACTAAAGATTCTCAATGTTCGTATATTTTTTCAATATATTAAAACACGATAATCACATCAACGTCCTTTCGACAGCTTGATCAACCACCAAATGTTATTTTATCTGCTGTCTTCACTAAAAGTCAAAACGAAAATGATTTTTGACAACAAACGTCAGATGGAAATGTCACTCGTTAGGTCTGGCTACGAAGACGGTCACGTTTGCACAAAAAGTGCGTTCCGATATTTCAATAATATATTAAAATGTAATAGCTTCTAAACGAGTAATTATGATTTTCTAATTGCAAAGTACTCGTTTATTTATGCTTGTCACACAGGCAATCAATTAACGCAGTTTTATTGTATACGTAAAACGTGTTGCCTAACTTAAGGAATGTTCTTTGTTTTCATAAGAAATATACAGCTAATACAAACTAGCTAGTAAACTAGTACAAATACGTGAATAAAAATTGGGACTTATAACAATATTAACACAAAATAACAAAATCTTTGGCTGAATGGTTAATTGAGTAATAGATTTTCTAACAAAAAAGAGAAATTTAATTTTTGAATTTTTAAACAGATGTCATTGGCAGTTATAGACGCGAAATTTTATACTTGCTAAATATAATTGAAACGACCACGAATCGGAATGGGATTTTTTCGACCACGAAGTAGTAAGTAGTTCATTGGTTTTACAACACAATTCTTTCAGGACATTGATCCAATAAATTATTTTTAATACAATTTAAATATACACTTTTTCGTTGTCCAAGTCGATATCCAATTTATCTTCAGGATTTGTCGAAAAATGTCTTATATTCCCAAATCAAAAATAGTCCAAATTACTAAGACTTCTTGGATTATTTACAAGAACTACAAATGTGAGAAAAAAATAATAATAATTTTGAATAATACGAAAATTAATGGAATAACAGTCCACTATTAGTAAATAGTTTGTAAATATGCTGAATATTTCTCAACATTTGTTATGTATAAATAAAATTATTGAGGTTAATCGAAAAACAAAACTTTTAGATGAAGTCTATTGTTTAGAATATACTTTTGAATATGCTTTTCTACTTAGAGAAGAGAAAAATTTCACCTTCCAAGTTAATTTGACATTAGCGAGTAAACAGATGAAAAAGTTTAAATGTACCAGTTTATTTTTTGATACGATTTTTGGCAACTTTCTGAGTACACAATGTTTATACAATTTTGAGGCAGAGTTAAAAGGCGAAAATAACCCGAGTAATACGATAGCTTTGCATTTGATTAATTTTCGGATGAAATATTAGTTCCAGTTAATGTAGTTAACCAATCTGAATTCTATTGCAATGGCTAATAAATTAAAGGAAACGGTAAAAAATGTTTTAAGCATGTGCCAAAAAAACTGCAATAAATACATCCCACACTTGTCATATGATAAAAATGTATAATTAGAATTGGTCATAACAGAGCTTGCACCGTCAACGGCTAATTTATTTTCAAAAATACAAAATGCACTTTTCCCGTATCGATTGTTAAGAACTCGATATTTTTCGGTGGAGTTATTAATAATCATTAGAGTATAACATTTTGCGTTGGTCTAATTTTAATCCAGAAAACGTTTGTGTATTTGACCGAGAAAACTGAAATTATGCATACTAAATTCTCATGCCAAGGACCGGGAATTTTTCGAACTCATTTTACACATGTATTTGTAAGATGGATTTCGAAATTTACCTACTTTATAATAATACTCGTCTACAAAAAATTATTTCATTACCACCCAAATTATATTTACCCGCACCGTATACATAATAATTTCTTATGGTTTCCAATAATATCATCAAAAGAGTTGAATGAATGAATGAAAAATATCGCTAAATTATTTTAAAAACACCAGTCATACGAACGCAAGGAATTTTTCATGAATTAATTCGCCTCCCGCATTCCCGAAGGATTATGCAATTCGAAATTATTCGCAAGCGGGATTATAACAGGTTTAACGGTGTATTTCGCACAATTCATTCGGCCAGGCGAAATGTCGCCTACGTATCCCGATTCCATTAACACATAATAATTTTTGGAATCGTAAAACCGATCCTTTTTCTATTTTCGTTCCGAAACCGCCGAGCGCTCGACAAATCGCCAACCAAACCGAAGTTGAGCCGTTTCTACAAAATTTCGGCCTCACCGACTAATTTACCCAAAGATACAACTAAAAATATTTTATTTGTTATTTCTAGAAAATTTTCACCGCTTAGCCTTCGCTCTTAATAGCCTATACTCGACGTTTCCTTTTTACCTTCGAAATTTACTACATGAAAAAATATACTTTCACGTGAAGTTGTATAAACAAATTATCCTTAAAACATTTTTAGGAATTATGCGTTCGAAATTATGAAATTCGAGGGGGAAATAACAAGAGTAGTAGAGAGGCTGGAGGTTTGATTGGTAGATGAGTGCCTAAAGGCAAGATGCAACAGCTCCTCTGCGACGCCGACGCCGACGTCTATCGACGTCGCGGCGCGTTATGCTCCGCTGTAGTAACGTTCAGTATATGTAGGAGAACGGGGTCCGACCGCCGCCCTATATGGATTGGCACGATTTTGCTCTGTGGATAAAATTACATCGCTTTTGCTTTGGTCTCTGCTAAAAATACCGCTGCCCACGGTTATTTTCGTACAATTGTATACAGTTTTTTTTTTAATTAGATATTTATAATAATCTCTATTTATTTTTTATGCGAGCGATTATTTTTCTAATTAATAGACGGCTTCTGGAAGCCCTCTCTGGAGGTTTCTTCGGTAACGAAATCTAGGCATGGCCGTAACCGTAATCTCTATTTATAGCGGCGATATTCGAATTAATGTCGACGTTGGAGGAGCTAAAGCTAAACACATACCCACAACAATATCGGATTTTGGTGAACGTGAACTCCAAGCACTTCTAATTCCTACGGATTCCCGTTGAAATGTATTTTAAATCGCAGGAAAAATCTGGGCAGATTCCGGCTCAAACGATAAGAAATTTTATCTAATAAAACCCGACGGCATCCAAAGCTTGCCAACAAACTGCAATACATTTTTCTTCGTAAAATTAATTACATCGGGTTTGTACATGTCGCTAAAGTTCTGGTTAATTTGAACTGATATATACATTTCTACCAACAGAAGTATTTGAACAACACACAAGCACCAGATGCTATAATTAGAAGAAACGGAAAATGAAATATGTTGGGCCAGGAACCCTCAAATGCTAGATAGGAATCGTGAAAATTTCTAACGCTTTAATTGAGCGAATCGAAAAACCCGTAAAAAAGTAAATTGGCGCCTCCACTATACTAGACTTATTTTTAAACGGTTTTCGGTGATAAATTACATTCAACAAACAAATTATTCTGAAATAAAAATCTTTTTTTACTCGTACTCTTCACCGTGCATCTATTCCGAGCCCGCGTCGAAACCATCGAATTCTTCGCTCGCCATCGATTTCGGCTAATTAAAGTTCCCGCTATTATGCACCGGGATGAATCCATGATTTTATCACCCGGCTAATTTTAGGATTATTTTCATTCGGTTCGGTTCTATTACTGCTAATAATAATAAACAATTTTGATGGTCTTATTAACGATTTTTATGAGTAAACATCGATATTTTGATTGATTTATTTCCGAATTTTCGAAAGAAAATGTGCGGTATTGGTTTTTCGAAATATCACTCCTAATTATCCTGGAAATTCAACGCGAATTAAATTAAATTAAATTATGAATGGAATGTAATGTAATGGCGCAGGTTTGGTCTCTAGCTATGCCCGTCGAGCTGTGAGTTAGTAATAAGCTAGTGCGATCGATAGGAATCCATTAGATATAATAATAGAATTGTAGAACGCGTGGATGGAATCAAAAGGTGTCTAATAGAAAGCAATAAATACAAACCCAAAAAATACCCTTCATCTTAGTCACAATCGCAAAAGCAGACGGATACGCGAATTGCGCATGGCCTGGTGGGGGTGGGTATTTTTTCCAAACTTATGAATAACAATATTTTTTTTAAAATAGATAGACAGGAATGGAGGAGAGTGGGAAATTTTACGCTGGCGGGGAATGCGTCAAGCACTAGATTAGAGTGAAGAGTGCACATTGGGCATCCTTAGTCAGTGCTTTAGAGGCCACGAAGCAATTCCTAGGATAGACGAACGACGACGCTCTCGCGACCGACGCGCTGCGGCACACGACGACGTTTCTACAATACGCTGAACACGCGCTTAAAGCAAAGTGTGTGCAGTGAAGTGAGGTGCTACGAAATATACCTTCAAATAGAGCCCCTTTTCTAAAAAAGTAAGCGCCTGAGTGAGAGTGGATACCGATGATTTAGTGTGGCCTTCTCGCATGTGTGTACCCGTCAGGATGGTTCTTTTGAGGACGCGCCGGATTGTCGCTGGATATCCTGCAAAAATTCCTGCCCGATAAAGAGCCGTTGGATTTTAGTCGGAAATTCGATACGCTTTATTAGATAAGTTGGACATGCGCATCACTAACGTTGCAGCGAAATGAATGATCGGTTTTTGTAGGACATCCAGTGACTGACATACTATGTACACGTATAAATAAAACACCTAATTTCGGCTCTTCCACTAACCTATTTTATGTATCTCAGGCTTCTTGCGTTTGTAGCGCCTTCAAAAATGGATTTCGTAAAAATTTGATAAGAGTACGAAAAAAATCCGATACACTACTAACCTACCAAAAATTTGATATTTTTGCTGAAAAATAATTCGGAGGCGTCCAGCGGCCGAAAGATCGGGCTATTATGCAAACTCCACTAGAGATAAAATTAACTTTTCGAAAACGTAGGCGGTCCGCACTTTCAGCGCCAGAATGCTCAAAAATTTGAGAAAAAATTCGCCTTTCCAAAAATAGAAGATCTTGAATTACCTACAGCTGGAGAAATGCACAATATCGCTGAATTCGATGTGCCTATTCCATTTGAAAAGCCAGCCATTAGTTTCATTTAACAAAACAATTAATGCTAGACAGGATAAGGGTAATTAGAAGAAACATTTCATGGGAACTGAATAGTTTTTTTGGGTGAATTTTGAAAACTCGAAAAAATAATGTGGAATAATAAAGCACGTACATACTAACAAAATAGTAGTTGATTTGAAATGAAATTACTAGACTCAAACCTAGTGCAGTTGAACCAGCATATGAATCAATTTCAACGCACTATTTATAAATTTCCGAATAACTTCGAAAATGAAACAAATATTCGTTTTATACTAGGTTTCAATATGTAATCTATTTTTGTTGTGTGTATTTTACCTACAAAACTCAATATCGATTGGAAAATTACAAAAATTGTTTACTTTCCCAATAAAATTCGAGCAATCGACGTTACCTCAAACAGTAATTTCAAATTAGTCACTAAACTATTAACGTTAGAGCCCGTCCTGGGCTCTAATTTAATGAGGTAATATATAAATTCTTATTTTAATTACCCGGCCATTAAATGAAGATCTACTTACTTATTTATTACAATGAACTTATTTGATTATATAATTAATTGCGGTCATGCGATGTTAATTCGTATATTATCTACAGAATTTATGTTTACGTTCGGTATTTTTGGCCCTAAAACTGCAATAATTTTCGCTAATTATCTCCGATACACATTTAAGAAATAAAATATAATAGCAATTAAACAACCCAAATTCCAACATACAACATTCCATTTCCAACAGAACACCGGGATGCGTAAATTTAATTTTATTACGCCATTACTCCATGTGATTTACTCGAACAAAACCTTTAATTAATTTACAAAACGAACGTAAACAAACCATCCCGATATTACCGGTGACACATAAAAAAAAAATCCTTTGATCGCTCGTTCCCCATGCAATGCACGAGAAAACAAGAACAAATCGATCAGCATCTGCATCAAACGGACTCAAAATGTCGCTGAATGCTAATCGACATCGACAATTTCGTAATTTTAGACTGTACCCTATTTATTCAGTATTTTTAGAACAGCGGTTCATTCTAAAAGTAAACCCAGATTCTGGCCTGAATTGATTTATAGATCACCCTCTCGTTTTTTATAGAGCCGTACCGCATAAAGTTGTAAAAATTCACGAATAACTGGGACACGAAGCTCCAAGCATAAAAGCTCGCTTCGGGAGTAGCTCGACGCCGGGTCAATTGGAATAATGTTTGGCGTTTGTTCTAGGGCCGATTTCATGTCATCATTATCGAAATAAAAAAGATATAGCATGGGAGTGGCAGAGGATTTCGCTCCCAGCTTCACCCAAAAGCCTCAGCTGAGGCAGGAGGACGATGGTAACAAGCTCATATTCGAATGCCAGCTACTGGCGGCGCCGAAACCCGAAATCGAATGGTTTCGCAGCGATGTTCCTTTAACCGAAGATAGCAGAACAAATTTCAAAATCCAATCGATAGGCACGAACAAATTCTTAGTTGTACTCGAATTAGATGATGTCATTGAAACCGACGCCGGCCTTTACAAGGTCAAAGCGAAGAACACCATGGGGGAGGTTGCCGCTTCCATCAATCTCAACTTCAGCCGTAAGCATTTTACATAAAATTTCTATTTATTTCTTTACTTATAACAATTTTTTTGTTGCAGCCATGGACGAACCGAAGGAAAAGTGAGTATATATTACGAATGTTACTTAACTAATCGAGTCCTTAAATTTGTCCTGACGTAGGTCTTGAGTAATTTGAAGTACATACTTTAGTTTTGACGCATCAAGGCTCAACGCCTGCTCACTTACATTTTTTAACAATTCATAACAAACACAATTGCTTGCCAAAAATTACGTTAGTATTAGTCATTTTTTTTTGGTCGAATCGTTTACCCATTATATGCCGTTTAAAAATAACATGATTGAGCAAGTAGGATTTTTATTGATCGGAAATCGATGATTTTGCAGACAAATAGATGGTCTTGCACCTACTTTCGCGAAAAAACCAGCAATTCGTCAAGAAGATGATGGTAAAAAACTACTTTTCGAATGTCGCATACAGGCCGATCCACGACCAACGGTCAGCTGGTCTCATAATGGCAATGCTGTCAGCGAAGGTCCACGTCACAAGGTAAAGATAGATACTAGATACTGTTAGATATACATATTTAAGTTCGTTGTTTATTTGCAATCGTATTTCACTCCGTATCATCTTCGAAACGGCAACCTTGTGGTTATTTTAATCTAATAGATCTACCTTTGTAAACACGGCTAAACTTAAGTATGCAATATGGGTCAGGTCAAGAAAATAATCTATTTTCGTGAAACTGTCCAATTCTTGTCAAATGGCTCCCATTAACCTCATTCCGCGATTATTCGCGTGGTTTTTCCCTCTTTCACGAATCCGTTGTTTCTTCAACTTCACTCTATTACCACATTCTCTATTAAACATAACTTTTCTCGGTATCTTTACGATCTTTAAACTTTCATAAACGCTTCGTAAACTTGTGACATATTTAATAGGTCATATCAATGTCATAATCGAGAGAATTATGATTTTGCTACAGTATTTTAGTGTTTACATTTGGCACATTTTGTGTTCTAATTTTAAAGCGTTACAGATGTCACCTGTTGTTTTTTTTAAATTAGTCTCGGATTTTCTGTACATAGCCTGTTTTCTGTTTGATACGGCGATCAAATGAATACAAGCATGCTCTTAGATTCCGCCAAAAAAATGCGCGGGTATAGGAATTGAAAGATTGCCTGGAAGAGATGAGAACACCATGAATATCGTTAATTCTCCTATAAGTTGCTGTATGAAATTAAAGGGGGTTCAGTCGAGATAGATTCTTTGCCGGTGGTCATTCGTGGCGAATAAAGAAAATCTAATTCTCTTTCAGTTAAGAATTGATAAAGATGGTCATTCATATTTTGCTACCCTTGAAATAATCGATGTCACGGTAGAGGATGCTGGCAAATACAAGGTTAACGCAAAAAATGATTTGGGAGAGAGTAATGCAACGATCAGCTTGAACTTTGACAGTAAGTTTTTTGTTCCGCTTCTTGTTGTCTGCTTTGTGTGTCCTTTTGTCAGCCTCAGCCTCAGCGTCCAGTACTGATTTTTTTTTCTATTTGAGAATTGGAAGTTAAAGCGAATAACCATATAGAATTAACCAAAAGGAGCTAACTAGAAATTGTAAAAAATTATGTTTAGTACAACATCAAATAGGCTATATTATTGTACATCGAGCGAGCATACTTCCTTTTTATAATACTACTACTACTGATCAAACGGCTTGTCAAGCTTGCTGAAACCAAACAATCATTACACTAAAAAAATATCGATATTTTTTTTAATGAAATCCGATAAACACAGCAACAGCAAATTTCTCCCTAAAATACTCTTAAATAGCAGCAAGTTACGGACAAGTAAGTCAGCACTCGTGCACAGTACAATGGACTAACAGATGCTTAATATCAGCTCAGCTTTTAATATGCAGTTTTAACAATTTCATTTCTAATTAATGTGTACATTAAAAACATGGGTATCTTTTTGTGTGAGTTAAAGCTTAGATTAGATTGAGTGTAACTGTTCGCAAAAATGACGATAATGCGAATAAGTATCCTGGCTGACACAGAGTGTGGCTGGATTGAACGTTACAGTTTTTTTAGGCCAAACTAAGAGGAACCTACCACCCGCACCATCAACACTTGTTTGTTAACAACATTTAATACTAAGTCTAAAAGGCCATGTTCTTGCAAATGTGACACTTTTCTTTCAGAGTTGTTATTACACAAATCAAAAAAAATATGTATGAAAAAAGAAAAGAAATTATCTTTCACTTTAACATGATTGAATGATTAAAAGCTGAGCTTTTTCTTTTTCGATAAGCATTGTAAGTTGCGCGAGTGTTGCTGGCTGTCCTGTGTCTTGATACAGCCAGTTTAGGAGAGTTTCTGCTCACTAGGCGATGAGGCACCAGTGCCCGAAAAGGAGGGCATCAAGCCGACATTCACAGAGCGTCCGGTTATCCGGCAGACTGACGATGGTTCGACCGTCACCTTCTTGTGTCGCTGCGTCGGAGATCCGAAACCCGAAATCCAGTGGTAAGTTTAGGATTGTTAAGTGCATTTGCTTGCAGAGAGACAAATCAATCGATGAATTTCCCATCAGGTACCACGGAAAGGAGGAGCTCGTATCGAACAACAGGTACTCGATGTCGCTGGACGTCGACGAGAAGATTTACTACATAGCTAGATTAGAGATAAGAAACGTAAAACGGAACGATCGCGGAGAGTATCGCGCTATAGCGAAGAACAAACACGGCCAAGGCTTAGCGACGATCAACCTCAATTTCGAGGGTATCGAAAAACCCAAGTAAGGCACGAACTGATCTTTTGGCATGTGGCTCAAAAAAAAAAATACCTCTAGACACACCGTTCTGTATCTATTGCAGAATACCCGATGGTAAAGCGCCGAGATTCCCGAAAAAACCCACCATCAGACAAGAAGGAGATGTTCTGATCATGGAATGTCTCCTCGAAGCTCACCCCGATCCCGATATCACGTGGTTTCAGAGCGAAAAGAGCATCGCGGACAGTTCGCGTGTCCGTATGCTCAGAAAAACAACTAGTAAAGACATCTATCTTCTCACATTAGAAATCGCTAATCCAACACGAGAAGATGGCGGTCATTACAGATGCAATGCTTTCAATGAATTCGGCGAAAGCAACGCCAATATCGCGTTGAACTTCCAAGGTAGGATGTGCGAGGATCACAACCGTCCGAACCGTACAGTTTATTTATTTACTACACACTATGTATCTGTATTATGTGTCTGTGAAACGTCCAATTCCGTTACTCATTTCCAATTTGTTCCAGTGACGTCTTGCCAACAACCACCAACACTCTGTCTTCGACTTGTGTTACTGTCATTTTGCATGAGCATGGCCTTTGATTTTCCCCACTCGTTGTCGGAACGCATTTAACTTGATTGTGTTACAGGTGGCGATAGCGCCGATGGTTTTGCGCCTTCTTTCGTTGAGAAGCCCAAAATCATACCGAATGAGAGCGGCACTCTCATTACTATGAAATGCAAATGCAAAGCTAAACCGAAGCCGACCGTTACTTGGTTCCGTGGAACCACTGTTGTCAAAGAATCGTCGAAAATTAAAATGATGATTGTCGATCTCGACGACGATAAATTCGATTTGTCGCTCGAAATCAAGGTTAGTCTTCAACAATTATCCTTTTATACTATCGGTACATTGAACCTTTCCAGGACCCCTCAGCCGCCGACGGTGGTACCTACAGGTGTCACGTGAAGAACGAATACGGAGAAAGCAACGCGAATCTCAATTTGAACATCGAGGCCGAACCCGAACCCGAAGGTGAAGGACCAACGTTCGTCGAAAAGCCGAAGATTACTTCCCACGATGGTGGAAAGCTGGTTGTCATGGAGTGCAAAGTCCGTTCTAATCCCAAACCCACGATCGTTTGGTTCAGAGAAGGCAAAGAAGTCACCGAATCCTCCAAGATACAAATCAGCGTCAAACAAACCGAAGAAGACGTGTATTACGTCAAATTGGAACTGAAAGATCCAGGAACCGAAGACTCTGGATTGTACAAGTGCAACATCAAAAACACTCTGGGCGAACTCAACGCCAACCTAACTCTAAACATCGAAATCATACCGGTCATCAAAGAGAAACCTAAAGTTATTAAAATAATTAAGAAGAAAACAGTCATCGTGGAATGTAGAGTTTTGAGTAAATTCGCTCCGGACTGTACTTGGTTCAAAGAAGAAGAAGCCGTGAAAGAGGATTCTCGGCACACCGTTCACGTTGAAAAATCCAAAGAAGTAAGCGCGTTTCTACAATTCACTGACATTGTTCTAATAATCATGCGCTAATTCCAGGGCGAATTCACCGTCAAATTGGAAATAAACGAAGTCGAGAAGCGAGACAAGGGCATGTACAAACTGGTGGCCAAAAACGAAAAGGGCGAAGCCACTTCGCAAACCGTCGAAGTCACCGAATTACCGCCAGACGAAAAACCGAAAGGGGAAAAACCCAAACTCACGAAACTAACAAACATAGTAAGTTTACGAAAACTGCTACAGAAGCTGCACTTCATAAGTGTTTTATTCCTGCTCTCCAATACTTTTGCCAATACATTGTTCCACGTCTCATACCTTTTGCTTTAGATTCCCATAGTCTTATTGGCTTCTATGAATCCATCCATTGCAATTGATTCCACCAATTCAGTTGGCGTTCTGCTTCAAACATACTCAGTGATTCAATGTTCAACAACTCATCTCTGATATAATCATTCCTTAATCGTTCTTTTCTGGTAACTCCTTTGACTTCTATGTTTCCTTTATGTTTACTTATTCATGGCATCATTCTTGCTTTCTTGTTTTCCCATTTTGTGCATTGTGACATTACCGATCTCTTTTCTACGACAGATCACCGAAGAAGGCAAGTCGGTCGACTTCATAACTTCGCTGAAAATCGAAGACAAAACCGTCAAGATCACTTGGTACAAGAACTCCACCACCATAACGGAATCATCGGATGTGAAGATATCCTTCGACGGCACCGTCACGCGCCTTAGTATTACCAAATGTAAAGTAACACATTCCGCCACGTACAAGTGCGTCGCCAAGAATGAATTTGGCGAAGACGAAACCAGCGCCACGCTCAAGGTCAAGGAAGCCAAGGATGAGGAAGAAGAGGAGGAGGAAGAGGAATCCGAGGAGGTAAATTCGTTGTTTAAATCGTCGATGAATTAATCATTCCGGTGCTCTTAGGAAACCGTCGAAGAAAAGAAGGAGGAAAAGAAAGAGGAGAAGAAGGTGGAAAAGAAAGAAGAGAAAAAGGAGGAAAAGAAAGAAGAGAAAAAGGAGGAAAAGAAGGTAGAGAAGAAGGTTGAGAAGAAAGAGGAAGACAAAAAATCTGTCAAGAAAGTCGAAAAGAAGGAAGAAGAGAAACTCATAATCAAGGTAAGCTAATTTAATACACTGTAACTCTATTATAAAAAAAAAAAACTTCAAAAATTAAATGAATCCGTTGACTTATTAGAAGGAGGAGGAAAAGAAGAAGGACGAGAAAATCGCCGCCAAAAAGGAGGAGGTTAGTACGCGAGTTTGTCTAGTTCTGTCCGTGTCTTACTTGTGTTTGTCTGTAGGATAAGGAAACCGTCGAGAAGAAGTCCACCAGGCGCACGTCCGTTCAACAGGTAACTCGCATCCAAACCCCAATTATACCAATTACTAATCAAAATTACACCGTACAATCGCGCAGGTCGAACAAAAGTCCGAATCGCGAAGGAGCTCGATCGTGCAAACCGACGAGAAAGTCGTCAAAGACGGGAAAGTTAGTCGAAAATCGTCCATAACGCAAGTAAACGAGGAGAGTAAGACTGAGTCTAGACGAACGTCGTTAGTTGACGACAAGAAAAAGGTACGGGCATCGCAAAATTGCGCTATTTGCAGCTTACGCTTCTTCGTTGTCGCTATTGCAAACCGACGAAAATTCAATCGACTCTTTTATTTCGCAGATCACTAAAGATACTAAAAAATTGGAATCGACTAAAGAATCGGTGAGTAAAGTAATCCAATTTCGTTTTGCTATCGTTTATAATAAACCCTGAAATTATATACCTATAGACAACACCTGACACACCAACTAATCACATTGAAGACACTCTTAAAAAAGACGATGCCAAAAAGGTAGTCAAGAAAACCGAAGATAAACTAACAACAAAGAAATCTTTAACCGAAACCAAAACTAAAGACGAAGTCAAACGTCCTTCTTTAACACCCGAAGCTAAACCTAAAGAGGAAGTTAAAAGGCCATCTTTAACACCTGAAGCTAAGCCTAAAGATGAAGTTAAACGTTCATCTTTAACACCTGAAGTTAAACCTAAAGAGGAAGTTAAACGTTCATCTTTAACACCTGAAGCTAAACCTAAGGATGAGTTGAAACGTCCATCTTTAACACCTGAAGTTAAGCCTAAAGAGGAAATTAAACGTCCATCTTTAACACCTGAAGCAAAACCTAAAGAGGAAATTAAACGCCCATCTTTAACACCTGAGGCTAAGCCTAAGGATGAGGTGAAACGTCCATCTTTAACACCTGAAGCTAAGCCTAAAGAGGAAATTAAACGCCCATCTTTAACACCTGAGGCTAAGCCTAAGGATGAGGTGAAACGTCCATCTTTAACGCCCGAAGCTAAGCCAGCTGGCGAAGCTGCGAGAAAATCATTGACTCCGGAACCCGGAGTGAAGAAACCGGAATTGAGAGCGCCCGAGAAGGTACACGCACAACTTTTCTGCGCATTTTGCACGGATCTGACCACTACTCACTCTTATCTACTCTTCGCATTTAAAAAGCGCATTCTTTAGTATTATAATTAATTTACAGTTCGCGATCTAATCGATTGGCTTTAAAATTCTACAGGATTTCTATAATTTAATCCTTCTGAACTGGATCTTTGCTTGTGATCTTCAATTAAGCGATTGAAACTTGATGACTGAATTAGTAATTTGTATAATTTTTTTCATGCTCGTCTGTGCTGTCTTTGTGGAACTAGGCCGAAGAGAAGCAGGAAGTCTCAGCTCTCAAGAAGGTAAGTTCGATATTAGTCCTCCCGATCTTTTTCCATTCCATTGACAAACATCAAAATACATACACATTATCTCCATGCGGGAATTTTGTAATAAATAATTAATTATTCAGCCGTTGGACAAACCTAAACGAACTATCCCGCCCAAACAAGAGGCCAAAAAAGGCTCGTTTTTGGATATTCAGTTGAAACCCGTCGCTCAAGACGGTAAAAAAGCGGAAAAAGCCGAAAAGATTGATGTTGAACTCAAGGTAAAATTCGAGAAACACCTTCTTGTGTCTATCTTTCTTCTCTATTTCCACTCATATTCGCCGAATTCTTGTGAATAACCCAACTTCTGTCGAGCAAACGCCTTATGTGTCTTTTTTAAATATGTTTACAAATTTTCTTCTTCTATTTTAACTACTGTAAATATGTTTCTACTAACTTTATCTTATCCTCTTCGTCTACACCTTCAACAGTATCTTTATCTTCTCTACTTGACTTTCTATTCTCTTTGTTACTAATTATATGGTGTCTATACCCTCATTTCTTCAATTCTACGTTATTAACTGTTGTATCTTTAATTAACGCGCAATTCTATTTTTCTATTTACGATGTAATAATTAAAAAATCTGTAATTAACAATCTTTTCTACAAGGTGTTCCGTGGGTAAATGTTAAAACTTTAAATGTATATTGAGGTGGGTACCTCTATGTGCAGTTGAATTTTAGTGCATTTGCCAATGCAACGCCCTTTAATTACACTTTCTCAATAACCCTCTCGCAGATAATTGCGTGATTAACAATTCGCTGCGTCGACGAAATTAATTGGTAAAAATGTTACTAGAAAACCGGTAACGATAAAGAGAAAACGGCGGTGAAAAAATCCGGTAAAAAAGAAGAGTCGTACGATGTGAACGCGTGGGAGAGCATTCCAGATTACGAACGCCCCGTATTGGAGAAATACGAAAAAGCCGACCAACCGGAGTACGCCGGTCGGGAAAAAACGAAACTGTCGAAGGTAATCCGCAAACGAACCGCTTCGCTTTAAAAAAAAAAATGCACAAAACTCACGCCACACTAACCCGTCGAACGTCCCGAATCTACCCTAACTTTCGTCCCAGGACAAGCCGTCGCTGGCCGTCGAAGGCAAGGAGAAGGCGCCCTCGCAGGCGGCCGTCTCCGAGCAGCCGCGGCCCAGCCTGCCCCAGATCAAGACGCCCGACGCCCCCAAGATCGAGGTGAGCAGGGAGCGGACGCCCGAGCCGCGGAAGAAGTCGCTCGAGCCGGGCGGCACGGGCAGCAGGAGGGGCTCTCTCATACCCCCGGAAGCCATGGGAAGGCGCGCCAGTCTCATCATCTCCGACGAGGTTCGTAGCTCGCTATGTCTCTTTTCTAACACTCGTTCGGTTTATTTTTTTTATCAATATATTCTCTAGCGTTTCTGTGGCGTCCTGTGGAATACCGTACTTTTGTTCTTGTAATTTATGTTTAAAATTTTATGTCTTAGGAAAAAAGGAAACTTCGACCTGGAGAGGTTAAAGAGGAGAAAAAGGTAACCAACAGAATAAACTCCAGCGTACGCCTAATTTTTTTTTAATTATTTTACTATTTACCATACAAGAGGAAGCGCAGCTGTGAACTTTCTCGTTGAAGCTTTTTTATTACAACCGACTCTGCTATATTACAACTACACAATAATTTTTTACATACTATTGCATAAATCATTACATGAATATAGCAGCGTCCATGTTGACGATATTTATATTTTTTACGACACAAAATCGAGCTGTGGCGATGCACCGATAAACTAATGCATAATGTGGTCATCTGTTATTATTCCAAAAAAAATTCGCAACTCGCATGATTTACCTACTTTAGAGCACCTGCCAGGCAGCAGCCAACACTACTTACAGGGCATCGAGTATATATACACACGCAGGAACAGCAGGAGATATCGCAAATAATACAATAAACCTTGATTTGAACCAAATTTACGATCTACGGTTTGTAAATATACATAAACCGAATCGATCAGTCGGTTATTGTTTATGTTTGCAAGTCGATGATTTAATTAAATAAATTTCTAGTGATTTATTTTGAGCTGGTACTATTTTTGTTGTTATGCCCGCAGGGAGGAAAATTACGACCTGGGGAAGTGCTAGATCCAAAGGTGAGGTTTGTGTCAGAAGTAAAAACACAAAACTGACCTTGGGTGGGAAATTTAACCAGAATGTCTTGTACTTGCTTGTTTTTTTTTTGTTTTGTTCCTGTATTAAAGTATATTGTTTTTTTATTTAAAGAAAAAGGGGAAACGTCCAGGAGTTATTGACGACCAGGTTAGGGTGAAATTAAATGTTGATTCAAAGATTGGAATTAGAAACGTCAATAATATTTCTATATGTTTGTGTCTAACGTAGATACATTTCATAGGGTTTTCTTGGGGAAACCTTGTCTTTAATATCCATGTATAGATTAGATCAATGTAAATAAAATATACTATATCAACAGGTCAACTGAAGGCATCATTCCCCAGTATTAAATTACACTCAAATATTAAAAAAAAAATCACTTCAGATTTCATTTCCGAATAATAAAAAAAATGTTTTCCCATTTCTTCTAATCCAACATTAGGACCTTCAGTGACCTTTAGTATTTTAGTATTAATTTTTTACTCTGTGTGCTAATTGCGTGTTTGTGCAAGGGGTTTACCTAAAACTTAAAACATGTTTAGATTAGTTACGAAAATGACATATACGGATATATAGCGCCCATATGTGCATTTTTCTCAGTGTATATACTCGCAAATAAATGTTTAATCGAGTTAACGCGCTTTACCTAACAATGCGATGTCATTAATCAGCCGAGCCTCTGCTAAAAATTAATCCACGTACGTCCTAAATACGCACAATGGAATTTTCATTCGAAAAACAAAAAAAATCAAATCGCGAAATTCCATTTTGCCGAGAATAGGTGCAATTAGGGCGGATGTAAAGCATTGTTTTCCATATAGCGCCGCCGGCCGAGCTCAGACGTGCGCCGTCCGAGCGTCGCCGACATGGAGGACCTCATCAACAAGCCCTCGACCCCGCTCAAGCCGAGCGGCCCCAAGGGAGCCGCCCCGCAGATCGTCGACGTCCAAGAGAACTACTCGTCCGTGGAAGGTACGCTCGCCCCCCGCGCATTTCCCCGCGCTCGATCACTCAAACCTGACTTCTTCCAGATCAAACCGCCTACATGACGATCCAAGTCGAGGGCGACCCGGCGCCGACGTTCAAATTCTACAAAGTACGCGAACCGAGCCCGCTCCACGCGTACCGTTTACGTTAAACCACGTTCGAATTTTCAGGGAGTCACCGAGATCATCGAAGGTGGTAGGTTCAAGTACGTGACCGACGGGGAGACGAATTTGATAACGCTGTGCATAAGGAAAGTGAAGCCCAACGACGAGGGCCAGTATAAAGTGATTGTGTCGAACATACACGGAGAGGACACGGCCGAGATGACGCTCTTCGTCGCCGGTAAGTGATGGAGAGGTGATTGGGTGATTTATACGAGGTGATTTGCTCTGTTTGCGTGTAGGAGCGGGTGGCGTGGATTTCCGTTCGATGCTGATGAAGAGGAAATACGCCAAATGGGACAAAGACAAAGGGGACCCCGATTGGGGCGATCTAAAGGAAGTCGAGAAGCCTATTCCTGCGCTCAAGAAAGTCGAAAAGGTAAGATAACTATCCCAATTAACTACTAGCTATTTCGATATAAGTAAGTATAATAAAAAGAGATGATAATTACTGAAATCCGAAGTTCCTCAGGTGGTTTAGATGCAGTTTTCTTTTTGTAGAATCCTGTACCTTCGAGAAGGCCTTCACTGGCTGAGTTAATACCAGATTGGCCAATACTTCATCACTTTCAAAGAAAGGAGGTTGGACAGAACACTCCTGTCTCTTTGTCAATGTCTAACCCGTTGCACGTAGAACTTTGTACATATATTTCTTTCACAAGTGATCGTTACTCTAAATTTTTTGTTCGAGAACGTTTTTTATTAGGATTTTTTTGTACATATTGTTACGTCGTATTCCTCTTACCAGTAAAACTTTAACCTCGTAAAGTTTTACATCGATCGAACTTAACTCAAATTTCTGGTGTCGATTCAATGTTGTGTCTCGTCTTTCGTACTGTAGATATTGATGTTCTCACAATATTTTTACATTTTTCAACTTGTACATATTATTTTTTACAGCGAAAGTAATCTTGTAATATATTTTTTGTATATAGCATTTGGTTAACAAACAACATCGATTTATAACAGAAGTTAATTGATTTTTCTTGCTTGTAGAAACAAGAGAGCTTCCTAAAACCGCTAGTAGATCAATTCGCCAAGGAAGGAAAAGACAAGAAAGTTGTATTCGAAGCTGGATTTTCCAAGCCGAATTGCAAGCCAAAATGGCTCTTCAGAAAAGACGTAAGCACATTAAACCACAATACATTAAAATATTAAAACAATATTTCTCGCTTAGGAATTATTCCCTGGCAGCAAGTACAAATTCAAGAACGAAGGCGACATGTACCAGCTGATCATCAGCAACCCGAAAGTGGAGGATACAGGAAAATACTCCATAGAAATAGGAGGTGTCAGTTCCACGGGATTCCTTACAGTCGAAGAACCGGATCCGAGCTACACCTTCACGAAACCCCTTAAGAAAAAATACGACGGCTACACGAAACACGAAACAGAACTAGCTTGTACAGTCAGCAGCAGCTTAGCAACAGTAGGCTGGTACAAGGGCGACAAGAAACTCGACGACGGCGACAAATACAGCATATCGAAAGACATAAACGGAGTCTGTCGGCTAACAATAAAAGACTGTACGCTCGAAGATTCCGGCGATTACGTATGCAAACTGGAAAAACAACCGGACAAAACAGCCACGAAAGTCAACATCGTCGAGTACCCGTACAAGTTCGTGAAGGTGCTGAAGCACCAGCAGCACGTCGAAAAGGAGAACATCACGCTGGTGTGCGAGCTGAACGACGCCGGCGGCGACGTCCAATGGTTCAAAAACGGCGAGGAAATCAAACCCGACAAGCGGCTGGTCGTCAGCAAGGACGGCCGCAAGCGCAAGCTGGTGATCAAAGACGCCAAAGTCACCGACGCCGGCATGTACTCTTGCACCACCAACGCCGACAAGACCGAAGCCGAGATCGTCGTCAACTACCTGAACCGGTTCAACAAGAAGCTGAAGGACACCGTCGGCGTGGAGCGCGAGAAGCTCGTCATCGACATCGAGCTGCAGGACTCGACGGCGCCCTGCGAGTGGTTCTTCAACGGCGAGCCGATCGTCGCGTCCGATCGCATCGAGATCAAGAACCTCGGCGGCGGCAAGCACCAGCTGGTGTTCAACAACCTGGACATGAGGGACAACGGCGAGATCAAGTGCGTGTCCGGCAAGCTCGAGTCGGCCATGCAGCTCGACGTTAAAAAGGGCGAAAGCAAGCCGGTGATCAATTTCCCGTCGGAGTTCGCCGCGCCTATTAGCAAACCCGTCATCCTCGAAGTACCGTATAAAAGTAATTTATACGATATTATACACGCTTGTATTTACCACTAAAATTGGTACGTTTTTAGTTGATGGTACGAGACAAACACCTCTAGAAGCTAAACTAATCAAAGACGGCAAAGTACTTCCTCTTAAGGATGTAGAAACTATCATATCAGACGACAAAGTTGTGTTCAAAATCAAGAAACCAACAAGAGAACAGTCCGGTCCCTACCAGATAAAATTATCTAACGGACAAGGTGAAGATGTTAAAGATGTGAAGATCACCATGCAAGACGTCCCGAGTCCGCCTGAGGACGTTAACGTTACCGATGTTTTCCAAGATAACTGCAAAGTGTCGTGGAAACCGTCGAAAGATAACGGGGGTACTCCTATTTTGCACTACGTCGTCGAAAGGCAAGACCTCAGCCTTAAAGGTAAATTCGAATCGAAGCTAAGCGGGTAAACTTTAAATATTTTCAATTATAGCTGGTTGGGAAAACGTTGGCGAAGTTAAGGCTAATGAACCTACGACTTTTAAAGTTGAAAAACTAATACCCAAAAAAGAATATAAATTTAGAATCAGAGCGGTTAATCAATTGGGCTCCAGTGAGCCCGCATTGTTTGCTAAACCAGTTTTAGCAAAGGATCCTTGGGGTAAGTATTGGAAAGTTGTGCCGTTTGGATGTAAATTTTATACCAAGTTTCAATATCTGTAAATATAACTTCTTTTGAAGCTTGGTATGACATTATGCGTTATTACAATCATCACCCATATTTTGTAATCGTCTTCAGTGTTGCTAACCCATGTGAATTGTAGACGAAAATCACATTCATTCTGTAGGGTATGTACTTCAAACATTGTGATGTTAACAATCGAATGCACGTAAATGTATTATGTTTTTCACGGGTGTTTCTGTCTAAATAACTGATGAAAAACTGATGCAGTAGAAGCTAAAAATCTGTTTGTATCTTAACAAACAATACAAAACACTTATACACACATAAAAAAAAACAATTCGACTAGTGCATTTTGATTGGAAAGAAAACAGCGTTAGCAACACTACCGCCTTGACCAGATATTCATAAATGAGGATATTTCAGATGAAGCGAGTAAACCAAAGGACGTTGAAGTCGTCGATTGGGACGTTGACCACGCTGATATAACGTGGAAAACTCCCGATAGCGACGGAGGGGCCCCGATCACCGGCTACGTAATCGAATTCAAAGAAAAATTCGCGAAAGATTGGAAAAAAGGCATCGAAGTACCCGGCGATCAATTCAAAGGAACTGTCCCGAACTTAAAGGAAAACAGCACGTACGAATTCAGAGTAAGGGCCATTAACAAAGCAGGTCCTGGCGAACCCAGCGACCCGACCAAACCAATCATAGCCAAATGCAGATTCGTCAAGCCGTTCATAATCGGCAACGATTTGAACAACATCATCATCAAAAAGGGACAAGTCGTCAAATACGACATAAAATTCGGAGGCGAGCCGGAACCCGAAGTCCAATGGTTCTTGGACAAGAAAGAAATCAAGCCCGACATGGAAGAACGAATAACGATCGATAAGTACGAAAAGAACACGATCATCACGGTGCGCAGATGCGCCCGCGCCGACAGCGGCAAGTACCGCCTGGTCCTCACCAACAGCTCCGGCACGTGCGAAGGCATCGCGGAGGTCATCGTGTTGGACAAACCGACGCCGCCCAAGGCCATGAAGGTCGAGGAAATCCGCGCCGATCACGTGAAGGTCGCTTGGCAGCGGCCCGAAGACATCGGCGGCACCGACCTCACCGGCTACGTCCTCGAAAAGATGGACATGGACACCGGACGGTGGATACCCGCCGGCGAAGTCGGCCCCACGGAGTCATCTTTCACCTTCAAAAACCTAACGCCCAAGAAGAAGTACAAGTTCAGGGTGAGGGCTAAAAACAAGGAGGGTGAGTCGGAGCCGTTGGAGACCGACGATTTCATATTAGCCAAGAATCCGTACGACGAGCCCGGAGCGCCCGGCCAGCCGGAGATATTCGACTACGACAACAAGAGCGCCAGCCTGAAATGGGCGAAGCCCGACAACGACGGCGGCCGCCCCATATCGCACTACACCGTCGAAATGAAGGACAAGTTCGCCGCCGATTGGACGGAGGTGGCCAAAACGGCGGACGCCACGCCGGAGATCGTCGTGCCCGGTTTGAAAGAGAACATGGTGTATCAGTTCCGCGTTAAAGCGCATAACAAAGCGGGACCTAGCGCTCCATCCGCGCCCACGGCAAACCACCTCTGCAAACACAAAAACTGTAAGAATTTTTTGTTTGATTCGCTTGATTGATCTATTTATTTACAAGAAGCTCTGTTCCGTTTTACGATTACTAATTTTCACCGTATTTTCTCTTAGAAAATATGTACGAATTTCAGCTGATATAATTATTATTTTTCCGTTTTTTTTTTCTTTTTAAATTATATTTTCAGGTTTTTCATCTGGTTTTATATGTGTACCTATTTCATATCATTTTATTGGAATTGTGACGTTTCGACATACTTTATACAGATGCCAGTTTATTTAACTATATCGTCTCTTCTAAACGAGTTGTTATGTTACAGTAAAACCGAGGATTGACAGAGAAACATTCAAAGCTGTTACAATAAAAGCCGGCCGCACGCACAAATGGGCGGTCGATTTCATGGGAGAACCTCCACCGTCCGTGAAATGGGTATGGAGAGACGACATTCCACTATCAAACAGCGAACGCATAAAAATCGAAAATTCCGATTACCACACCGACTTCACGCTGATCAACGCCGTCCGCAAGGACTCCGGAAAATACACGCTCACCATAGAAAACGAGAACGGAAAGGATACGGAGACGGTCGAATTGACCGTCTTGAGCAAACCGTCCGCACCCGGAGGGCCTTTAGTCGTCTCTGATGTGACTGCAGAAAAGGCTAAGGTGAGCTGGAGGAAGCCCGACGACGACGGCGGCAGCCCCGTCAAAGAATACGAAATCGAGAAAATGGACACCGCCACCGGCAAGTGGATACGCGTCGGCAGGGTACCCGCCGACAAAATGTCGCCGGACGGCAAAGGAGAATTCGAAGTGACCGGCCTCATTCCGGGCTCCGAGTACAAGTTCCGAGTCACGGCCGTGAACGCCGAAGGCGATTCCGAACCCCTCGTATCCGACAAACCCGTCGTGGCCAAGAATCCATTCGGTGAGTTCGAATTACGAATCGAAAAACAACGCGTTAAAACGACATTTTTCAGACGAACCCGGCAAACCAGGCACGCCTGAGATCACTGACTACGACAACAAAGGAGTCAACCTCAAATGGACGCCGCCCAAGAACGACGGCGGCGCTCCCATCGAGAAATACATCATCGAAAAGAAAGACAGATACAAGCCCGATTGGGAGAAAGCCGTCGAGGTGCCGGGAGACCAGCTGGAGGCCCGCGTGGAGGACCTCAAAGAGCGCGGCGAGTACCAATTCCGCGTCATCGCCGTGAACAAAGCCGGCCCTGGCTCCCCGTCCGACGCCTCCAAGATGCAAATCGTCAAGCACCGATCGCGTAAGTCACCCCATTCCGAACGCCCAACGAAATTTTACCTAACCCAACTGTTCCAGTCAAACCCCGAATCGACAGGACGAACCTCAAGCCCATCATCGTACGCGCCGGAAAGCCCATCAAATACGACGTCGACGTCAGAGGTGAGCCCCCGCCGACGTGCACTTGGCACCACATCGACCAAGAGGTCAAATCGGAAGGAAACATCGAAATCATTAACGTCGATTACAACACGAAGATAAACATAACGAACTCTGTGAGGAAGAACACCGGCGTTTACAAAATCAAAGCCGTCAACGAGCACGGTTCCGACGAAGCCGAAGTCGAAGTCACGGTGCTATCCTCCCCCGGCAAACCCAAGGGCCCGCTCAAAGTGACCGACGTCACGAAGGGCGGCTGCAAGCTCAAATGGGAGAAGCCCGAAGACGACGGCGGCAAGCCCATCACCGGCTACCAGGTCGAGAAGTACGACAAGCAAACGGGCCGCTGGGTGCCCGTCGGCAGGACGACGGACACCGAAATGGACGTGAAGGGCCTCCAGGAGGGGCACGAGTACGATTTCCGCGTCAAGGCCATCAACGACGAAGGGGAGTCCGAACCGCTCGAGACCGATTCGTCCATCGTCGCTAAAAACCCGTACGACATACCCGGCAAACCCGGCACGCCGGAAATCACCGATTGGGACACCGATCGCGTGGACTTGAAGTGGACGGCGCCGAAGAGCTCCGGCGGAGCGCCCATTACCGGCTACGTCATCGAAAAGAAGGAAAAATTCTCAACAACTTGGGACGAAATCCATTCTACAGACGTAAGTACACAAACTCGAATAAGATCTAGTTCTGTACGGTTTAATTTCTATTTTATAGGGACCTGCCTGCGAAGCTCGAGTACCGGGGCTCAAAGAAGGAAACACCTATCAATTCCGCGTACGAGCCGTCAACAAAGCCGGCCCTGGAGAGCCTAGTGACGCAACGAATCAACACGTCGCCAAAGCCAGGCACTGTAAGACCACCAATTCAATCTTCCTACTCGCTTTTACACAACAATTTCCTTTCAGTACGACCGCTTATCAACCGCGAAAAACTGCACACCGTCAAAGTTCGCGCTGGCCAATTGGTCAAATTCGATGTCGATGTTAAAGGCGAACCCCCACCGGTTTGCACGTGGATTCTAGCCCACAAACCTCTCGAGAACGGTCCTACCGTCAAAATCGAAAACGAGGATTACAACACCAAGCTGACGCTCAGCGACACTAAGAGAAAAGACACCGGCACCTACACTCTCAAGGCCGAGAACGATTCGGGCTTCGACGAAGCCACCGTCGAAGTCATCATCCTGGACAAACCCGGCAAGCCCGAAGGTCCGCTCGACGTGACCGAGGTCCACAAAGAGGGCTGCAAGCTCAAGTGGGACAAGCCCAAGGACGACGGCGGCTTGCCCATCACGGGCTACGTCATCGAGAAGCAGGATACGCAGACAGGACGATGGGTGCCCGCCGGTTTCGTCGACGCCGACAAAACCGAACAGCAGATCACGGGGCTCGAGCCGAACAAGAAGTACAACTTCAGAGTGAAAGCGGTGAACGAGGAAGGCGAATCGGAGCCTCTGGAAACGGACGCCGCGATCCTCGCCAAGAACCCCTACGATATACCGGCGCCTCCGGGCCTGCCGGAGATCGTCGATTGGGACGAGAAATCGGTGAAACTGAAGTGGGACAAACCCGTCAGAGACGGCGGTTCGCCCATTACCAGTTACATCATAGAAGCCATGGATAAATTCGGAGGGCAGTTCGTTAAAGTGGCGGAAGTTGGACCGCAATGCAACGGTACTGTGCCAAAACTGGAAGAAGGTAATCAATACAAGTTCCGAGTACGCGCCGTTAACAAAGCCGGCCCTTCGGATCCCTCTGAGCAAACCAACTGGCACACCGCTAAGCCCAGATTCCGTAAGTTTTCTATCAACCAAACAAATCGAAATGTATAATAATCGCATATATATTTACAGTGAAACCGCTCATCGACCGCACTAATCTCAAACCGTTAACCATCAAAGCTGGATTATCCATCAATTTGGACGTCAACATCCAGGGTGAACCTCCACCGAAAGTAACGTGGTTATTCAACGGAACCGAGCTGGCGTCCACCGATGAAATACGCATCGACAACGTCGATTACAACACCAAATTCTTCATAATGAAAGGCAAGCGCCTGCACTCGGGCAAATACACCATCATCGCTAAAAACGAAGTCGGAGAAGACCAAGCCGACATCGAGATTTCCGTGCTCGGCAAACCGAAGGCGCCTAAAGGGCCGCTGGAAGTCAGCGATGTCACCAAGCACGGCTGCAAGCTGAAATGGAAGAAGCCCGACGACGATGGCGGTTCCCCCATCGACCATTACGAAATCGAGAAACTGGATCCTCTCACCGGACAATGGGTGCCCTGCGGTCGCAGCACCGAACCCGAAGCCAACATAACCGGCTTGCAGGAAGGCAAACCCTACAAATTCAGGGTGAAAGCGGTTAACAAGGAAGGAGAATCCGAACCGCTGGAAACTGAAAAAACGATCATCGCTAAGAATCCATTCGGTGAGTTTCATTTAATGAACATTTCTGGATAGTTTTATATTAAATTGTTTGTATTTTATAGATGAACCAGGCAAACCAGGCCGTCCAGATCTCAAAGATTGGGACAAAGACTTCGTGGAGCTGGCTTGGAAACCTCCAGTCAGCGACGGAGGGGCTCCTATACAGAAATACATCATCCAGATGCACGACAAAGCTGGTCGCGGATGGATCGACGCTGCGACTGTACCCGGAGACAAAACAACCGGACGAGTCGAGACCGTGGAAGAAGGTCACGAGTACGAGTTCCGCATCGTGGCCGTTAACAAAGCAGGTCCGAGCGAACCGAGCGATCCGTCCAAACCCGTCGTTGCTAAACCACGATTTTGTGAGTACTTACATTTACACGAAAAACCCGGTTCTATTGGATGTTATCGTTTACAGTGGCTCCCAAAATCGATCGCAAGAACCTCGGCAAAAAAGTGCTGCGCACCGGCCAACTGCTGCGTTTGGAAGCCGATGTCAAAGGCGAACCTGCTCCGGTAGTGGTGTGGACGTTGAAAGAACAAACACTCAGGAACACCGACAGAATCAAAATCGACAACGAGGACTATCACACGAGCTTCGCCATGAAAAGCGTGCAAAGAAGCGACACCGGCTCGTACACGGTCACGGCCAGGAACGATTCCGGTGTAGATACAGTCGACGTTGAAATACAAGTACTCTCGAAACCGTCGAAACCGAAAGGTCCCCTTAAAGTATCCGATGTGACTGCGAACGGATGCAAACTCAAATGGGAAGCTCCCGAAGACGACGGCGGCGAGCCCATAACTGGATACGTGGTAGAGCGTATGGACGTAGAATCCGGACGGTGGGTTCCTGTAACGACCACTAAAACCCCGGAAGCCGATGTTACAGGCTTAAACGAAGGCAAAGACTACCAATTCAGAGTGAAAGCTGTTAATTCCGAAGGCGAATCGGAACCTTTGGTCACCGACGTTCCGACTACAGCCAAAAATCCTTACACCGAACCCGACGCTCCTGGCAAACCAGAAATCAAAGACTGGAACAAGGACCACGCCGACATCAAATGGACGCCGCCCAAAAACGACGGCGGCGCTCCCATCGAGAAATACATCATCGAGAAGAAGGATCCCATCACGGGTAAATGGCAGAAAGCCCTCGAAGTACCCGGCAACAAAACCGACGCCAGGGTACCCGATTTACAAGAAGGCCAGAAATACGCCTTCCGCGTAAAGGCCGTTAACAAAGGCGGCGACAGCAAACCATCAGCCGCATCAGACACGATTACAGCCAAAGATAGATTCGTGCCGCCTAAAATCGACCGTACGAACCTCAGGGACATGACGGTCAAAGCCGGCCAGCACATCCGGCTGGACATCAAAGTCACCGGAGAACCGCCGCCGGCTAAGAGTTGGTTCCTCAACAAAGCTCGCGTGGAAAACCGCGACGATATCAACGTAGATATCGAAGACTACAGAACTAAATTCGTCATCGGAGTCGCCAAGCGAGAGCACACCGGCACATTGACTCTCAAAGCCGAAAACGACTCAGGCAGAGACGAAGCAAGCATCGAAATTAAAGTGCTGGACAAGCCTTCGAAACCGGAAGGCCCTCTCAAAATCAGCGACGTCCACAAGGAAGGCTGCACGCTCAAGTGGAACCCACCGCAAGACGACGGCGGCGTACCGATCGAATACTACGCCGTAGAGAAGCTAGATACTTCCACCGGCCGCTGGGTACCAGCCGGCCGGGCGAAGGACCCCAAGATCGAGCTGAACAACCTAGAACCCGGCCAGGAGTACAAGTTCAGGGTATCGGCGGTGAACGCCGAAGGTGAATCGGAGCCCCTCGAGGCCGAGCAAACTATCGTCGCGAAGAATCCGTTCGACGAGCCCGGAGCTCCTGGTACGCCGGAGGTCACCGATTGGGACAAGGACCGCGTGGATCTACGATGGACTCCACCTGCGAATGATGGTGGATCTCCAATCACCGGATACATTATCGAGAAGCGGGAGAAGGGATCGCCGAAATGGACGAAGGCCGGCGAGACCGGACCGTACGAAACGAAGGGAACCGCGAGCAATTTGGACGAAGGCGTGGAATACGAGTTTAGAGTGCGCGCCGTTAATGCTGCAGGTCCCGGCGAACCGAGTCAAGCATCTAAATCTGTGGTTACGAAGCCCAGACGATGTAAGTATTTATCATTTTTTACAAAATTACTACGGTAGAAACATATGTTATTATATTACAGTGGCTCCTAAGATTGACCGCCGCAACCTGCATAATCTCACGGTAAAGGAAGGAGAACCTATTTACATCGATGTTAAAGTTAGCGGAGAACCAGCTCCCGACGTTACTTGGTACCAAGATGGCAGAACTCTCACTCAAACGTCGCACAAACGCATCGACGACATCCCCTACAACTCCAAGTTCTTCAACGACAAACCCGAACGCAAGGACACAGGAGTTTACAAAATTGTTGCCACTAATAAATACGGCCAAGATCAGGCTGAAATCGAAATAACAGTTGTTTGTAAGTCCAATTTCCTTATTCACCTATACCTTGTTATTTCGATTGCGCGTTTTTACAGCTAAACCAGGACAACCCGAAGGTCCTTTGGAAGTATCGGACATCCACAAAGACAATTGCACATTGAAATGGAAGAAACCTAAAGATGACGGTGGAGAGCCGATCGAGAATTATGTTGTTGAGAAATTCGATCCTGAAACAGGCATTTGGTTGCCAGTCGGCAAGACGAACGGTGCTATACCCGAAATGAAAGTTGAGGGTCTCACGCCTGGCCACGAATACAAATTCAGAGTCAAGGCAGTCAATAAGGAAGGTGAATCGGAACCACTCGAAACACTGGGAACCATTACAGCCAAAGATCCTTACAGTAAGTATTACGCGTTTTACGTAAGAATGTAAGTTAACAAGTGATATTTTAGCTACCGCTGGTAGACCTGGTACTCCCGAACCGGAGGATTGGTCCGCCAATCACGTAGACTTAAAGTGGACCGAGCCAATATCAGATGGCGGCGCCCCCATCACCGGCTATATCATCGAAATGAAAGATAAATACAGCCCGATTTGGGAGAAAGCTCTGGAAACGACCACACCGAAAACCGCGGCCACCATACCCGGATTAATCGAAGGAAACGAATACCAATTCCGAGTAATCGCTGTCAACGAAGCCGGTCTAAGCGCGCCTTCGGACGCCAGCAAAACCTTCACGGCCAAACCGAGATTCCGTAAGTTCAAAACAACAATTTCGAATCCCACGTTAATTGCCATTTATTAAATTCCAGTTGCACCCAAAATCGACAGGCGTTACCTCCACGACGTCACGATCTCCGCCGGTTCGCCGCTCAAATTCGAAGCCAACATCATCGGCGAACCTCCACCGACGGTGGAGTGGCGTTTCAACGGCAGCGTGCTCAAAAACGACAACCGCACGACAATCGACAACGTCGACTACAACACGAAAATCGCCATCCGCCCTGTCGGGCGAGACGATACCGGAGAATACAAAATCACTGCTTCTAACAGCTCTGGCAAGGATACTCACATTATTAACGTCACCGTAACCGATAAACCTACGCCACCGCAAGGACCTCTACAGGTATCCGATGTTAATAAGAACGGGTGCAAACTCAAGTGGAAACGCCCGAAAGACGATGGTGGTACTCCCATTGAATATTACCAAGTTGATAAGATGGATCCCGAAACGGGAGTATGGGTACCCTGTGGAAGAGCCAACGAACCAAGTAAGATACTAGCCCTACTAAGTTACTTACTTCTTAGTATCCTTGGATTTTCTATATTATCCACATTTCCTCTTCTCACTTTCCTAATATTAAAAGTAACGTTGTTTCAGACTTCGAAGTGACCGGTTTAACGCCTGGCCACGAATACAAATTCCGAGTGGCAGCCGTAAACGCCGAAGGCGAATCCAAACCGCTCGAAACCGATACCACAATCGTCGCTAAAAATCCATTCGACGAGCCCGGCGCGCCGGGCCACCTCAAAGCCACCGACTGGGACAAAGACCACGTGGACCTGGCGTGGTCGCCGCCCAAAGACGACGGCGGCTCGCCCATAACCGGCTACATAGTCGAGAAGAAAGACAAATTCGGCGACTGGGAGAAGGCGCTGGAAATCCCCGGCGATCAGCTCAAAGCCACCGTTTCCGACCTCATCGAGGGGCAGCCCTACCAGTTCCGCGTGCGAGCGGTGAACGCCGCCGGTCCCGGAGACGCCAGCAACGAAACGCCTACCATCATAGCGAAGCCGCGCAACTTGGCGCCGATGATCGACAGGACCAACTTGAACGAGGTTAAGATCCGCGCCGGCCAGAACTTCGGCTTCGACGTCAAAGTCAGCGGCGAACCGATGCCGACCACCAAATGGCTCATCAAGAACAAAGAGCTGAAAACCGGCGATAAAATGAAAGTCCAGCACGGCGATTACAACACGAAGATCAGCGTGAAGAACGCCACTCGCGCCGAATCCGGAACCTACACGATTACAGCGGAAAATGCGAACGGTAAGGACATAGCGGAAGTTGAGGTCATCGTTTTGGACGTGCCCAGTCCTCCGGGAGGTCCCCTTAAAGTCTCCGATGTGCACGCCAACGGCGCCAAACTCAGCTGGAGGCCTCCAGCGGACGATGGTGGACAACCCGTGGAAAGATACGTTGTGGAAAAAATGGACGAGGCCACCGGTCGGTGGGTTAACGCCGGCGAGACCGACGGCCCGGAGACTTCCCTCGCTGTTGACGGTTTAGTGCCGGGCCACAAATACAAATTCAGAGTCAGAGCTGTGAATAGACAAGGAAAATCGGAGCCGTTGCAAACCTCCCAAGCCGTCGAAGCGAAGAATCCCTTCGATGAGCCTGGCAAAACGTCTGCACCGCAAATCACGGACTACGACAAGGACTTCGTCGAACTCAAGTGGGACAAACCAGAAAACGACGGCGGATCGCCGATTACTGGCTACATAATAGAAAAACGCGACAAATTCAACCCGAATTGGGAAAAATGCGCCGAAGTCGAAGGCGACATACCCAAAGGTAAAGTGAACGACCTCATCGAAGGAACGCCCTACGAGTTTAGAATAAGGGCGGTCAATAAAGCGGGACCTGGTGAACCCAGCGACGCGTCCAAAGTCCACGTCGCAAGACCCAAAAATCGTAAGTTGTCACTCAAACATCTACTCTTTCATTAATCAAACTCTAATTTCCAGTGGCTCCGAAGATCGACAGAAACTTCTTCGCAGACCTCAAAATCAAAGTCGGCGCTACCATCGAATATAACGTACCTGTTATCGGAGAACCTCCGCCATCTAAGGAATGGAAACACAAGGAAGACGTTCTTTTTAACAACGACCGCGTGAAAATCGTCAACGAAGACTACAAAACCAGCATCAAAATAATCGACGCCAAACGATCCGACAGCGGATCCTACACGCTAACAGCGAAAAATCCCAACGGCAAAGACGAAGCCACCGTAAAAGTTACCGTGCTCGACGTACCCACCCCGCCGGAGGGACCGCTCAAGGCCGATAACATCACCAAGAGCTCGATGACCCTGCACTGGAAGCCGCCCAAGGACAACGGTGGCTCCGAAATAACTCATTACACCGTCGAGAAGCTCGACACGGAGAACATGAGATGGGTGCCGTGCGGAGAAGCCATCGGCACCTCCATGAGGGTCGATCACTTAAGCGAAGGCCACGACTATCAGTTCAGAGTGAAAGCGGTCAATAAAGAAGGCGATTCCGCTCCTTTGCAAACCACCGAGAGCATTACCGCGAAGGATCCCTACACGAGGCCAGACAGGCCCGGGGTTCCCCAAGCCACCGATTGGGACAAAGACCACGTCGACTTGGAATGGACTCCACCCAAGAAAGACGGTGGTGCTCCCATCACGGAATACATCATTGAAAAACGACCAAGACACGGGTAAGTATTGGCGTGTTGCTTAACGCAAATTAGATTAACGTTATTGCTTGTTCAGAACTTGGGAAAGAGCCTGCGAAGTTCCCGGTAACAAGACCAAGGCGACGGTGCCTAATTTGGTCGAAGGAGAAGAATACGAATTCAGGGTGATCGCCGTGAACAAAGGCGGTCACAGCGATCCCAGCGAGGCCAGTCTTCCGGTAATAGCCAAACCGAGATTCCAAGCTCCCACGTTCAACAAGAGCTTGCTGGAAGACATCACCGTCAAGGCCGGCCAACGATTCGGATGGACGATTCCCATGGAAGCGTCGCCCAAGCCGACAGCCACGTGGACCGTCAACGGCAAAGAAATCAAACCCGACGACCGAATCGACATGGCCATATTCAACAACAAAGTATCTTTCGATGTTTCGTCTTCTCTGCGATCGGACGCAGGAAGATACACTTTAACTCTAACCAACGATTTGGGCAGTTTCACTGCCTCCGCGCAAGTGACTGTAATCGACAGACCCAGTCCTCCTCAACCTCCGTTGGACGTCAGCAGCGTGACCAAAGACAGCGCGCGCCTGGGCTGGAGAATACCGCTAGACGACGGCGGCTCGCCCATATTGCACTACGTAGTCGAGAAAATGGACGTGTCTCGCGGCACGTGGTCCGACGCGGGAATGGCCACGATCACCTCCCACGACGTGACCAGGCTCATCCACCGCAAAGAGTACTACTTCAGAGTGAAGGCGGTGAACGCCGTAGGCGAATCCGAGCCGCTCGAAACGCAGAAGAGCATCATCGCCAAGAACGAATTCGACGAGCCCGGCGCTCCCGGCAAACCGGCCGTCACCGACTGGGACAAGGACCACGTCGATCTGGAATGGACGCCGCCCAAGAGCGACGGCGGCTCGCCCATCACCGGCTACATCGTCCAGAAGAAGGAGAAGGGCAGTCCTTACTGGACGAACGCCGCCCACGTGCCGGCCAGCAAAACGAAGGCCACGGTGCCCGATTTGACCGAAGGACAGGAGTACGAGTTCAGGATAATCGCGACCAACACGGCCGGACAGAGCGAACCGTCGGAACCATCCGATCTGGTTACAGCGAAAGCCAGATTCCGTGAGTTTTCCGCTGTGTACTTCGAATTGTACTTTACTTACGCGTGTTATTTCAGTGGCGCCGAAAATCAAAACTCCACTCAACGACATCCGCATTAAAGCTGGTCTCATTTTGCACATCGATATAGATTTTATCGGAGAACCGTGTCCGGAAGTAACTTGGAGTGTCGGTAGTAAACCGTTAGCTGCCGATGAACGTACGACTGTTACTTCGATAGGCTATCACACCACCATACATACTGTAAATGCCAAACGCACCGACAGCGGTTTGTATCACATTTTGCTCAAAAATAGCTCGGGCATTGACGAGGGATCGTTCCAAGTCACCGTGTTGGGTGAGTACCGTTCATGGGGTGAGAAATTGCAACGCCAATTTACACGCAATTACTACTCCAATTTTAAATTACTATTTCTAACGTACTTTCCAGGTTTGGGATATTTTAGAGGGTAACGTTCTAAAAAAAACACAAAAAAAATCGTTATTGTAAAATTAAAATTTGATTTGCGTATTTTAGATCGTCCCGGACCACCGCAAAGACCCATCGAGTACGAAGAAGTTACCTCGCAAAGCGTCACGTTATCCTGGAAGCCGCCTAAAGATAACGGTGGCAGCGAAATAACGTATGTATCACACAATAACCGTATCTCCAAATTCCTAGCATAACGACCATTTCACCGATTCAACAGGGGATACGTAATCGAAAAACGAGATTTAACCCACGGAGGCGGTTGGGTACCAGCCGTAAACTACATCAATCCCAAATACAATCACGCAGTGGTTCCCAGGCTGCTCGAAGGAACCAAATACGAATTCAGAGTGTTCGCCGAGAACATGCAAGGAAGATCCGACCCTCTGGAAACCGAGCGACCGATCGTCGCCAAAAACCAATACGGTATTTACCCAGCGCTACAGTAAATTCCCGCAAACTTCACCTGAACGTTTTCAGACGTACCCGGAAAACCTGGCAAGCCAGAGCTCGTGGACAGCGATAAGGACCACATTAAAATCAAATGGACGGCGCCTATCAGCAACGGCGGCTCTCCTATCGTAGGCTACGACATCGAACGCCGCGACAGAGCCACCGGCAGATGGATCAAACTCAACAAAGAACCCAACAGGAACACCGAATTCTACGACGACAGAGTACAAGAAGGCCACCAGTACGAATACAGAGTATCCGCTGTGAACGCCGCAGGTGCCGGAAAACCGAGCGACGCCTCCAACGCTTTCATCGCCAAACCGATGAAAGGTAAATTTATCAATTGCACATTCAATCGCTACTTACAAACGTTTGTGTACGTTTCAGAAAAACCGAAGTTGTGGCTCGACGGCATTATCGGCCGCAAAATTAAAGTCCGCGCCGGAGAACCCATCAACATCAACATCCCGTTATCTGGAGCGCCGGCTCCGAAATGCGAATGGACAAAGAACAAGATTTCTGTACCAGAATCCAACAGAGTATATGTAAGTATCCAAATTTCCTTAAACTATCTCGAAGTAACGAGTGTTTGTTACAGACTGAAACTACAAGTGAGAATACCAGACTTCGTGTTGAAGCTTCGAACCGAGACGATACTGGCACATACACGATTCGAGCTTCCAACGAATACGGAGCCGACGAAGCCGACATCGAAGTAATCGTTGTCGACAAACCAGGAATGCCCAAGGGTCCTCTACAATACACCGCCACCACGCAGGATACGATATCCCTATCCTGGAACCCGCCGGAGGACGACGGCGGCGGAGACCTCACCGGATACATAGTAGAAGTCAGCGAATTCGGTACCGACAGCTGGCGCCCGTGCCCGGGCTTCTGTCCCAAACCGTCGTTCACCGCTCGCGGCCTCACCGAAGGCAAGAAATACGTGTTCAGAGTGCGCGCCGAAAACATCTACGGCGTCTCCGAGCCGCTGGAAGGCAAGCCCGTCATCGCCAAGAGCCCGTTCGATCCGCCGGGAGCGCCGAGCAAGCCGGACATCACCGGCTACTCCTCGTCGACGTGCTCACTCAAATGGAAACCGCCGGCGTCGACAGGCGGCAAGCCGATCACCGGCTACTACGTGGAGAAACGCGAAAGAGGCGGCGACTGGGTGAAGGTGAACACCTATCCCACCCCTAACACGCAATACACCGTGCAGGACTTGCGAGAGGGCAACAAATACGAATTCCGCGTTGTCGCTGTTAACGAAGCGGGACCCGGGGAACCCAGCGAACCCACTGAGCCGATCGTAGCGCAATTGCAACGGTTCAAACCGGACGCGCCCGAACCGCCTAAAGCAGATCGCATCACCAAAGACAGCGTCACACTGTCGTGGAGACCGCCTAGGAACGATGGCGGAGCTAAAATTAGGGGTTACGTTCTACAAAAACGCCCCGTGGGTACTGACAATTGGACCGACGTTAACACTACTCCAATCAACGATACCGTTTACACGGTGCCTAATCTCAAAGAAGGCGAAACCTACCAATTCAGATTGATCGCCGTTAACGACGTAGGAAAATCCGAACCCAGCAAGCCGAGTAGCAACATCAAGATCGAAGAGCAGCCCAACAAGCCGCGAATGGATCTGGGCGGCGTGCGCGACATCACCGTCAGAGCCGGAGAAGATTTCAGCATTCACGTACCGTACATGGGCTTCCCCAAACCGACAGCGTCTTGGTTCGCTAACGACAAGCTCCTCGACGAATCGGATTCGAGAGTATTCCCGCAGCTCGCCGACGATTACGCCAGCATTATTGTGAAGAACTCGAAGCGGACGGACAGCGGCCAATACAGGCTTCAGCTGAAGAATCCGTCAGGTTTCGACACCGCCACGATCAACGTAAGGGTCCTGGACAGACCTGGAAAACCGGAGAACCTTAGAGCCGACGAGTTCGCCGGAGACGCGCTCACGCTCTACTGGCAGCCGCCTAAAGACAACGGAGGCGCTGAAATTACCAATTACATCGTCGAAAAGAAGGAAGCCAAGTCACAAACTTGGTCTAAAGTCAGCAGCTACGTTACAGTTCCGTTCGTTAGGATCCGCAATCTGACGTTAGGAAAGGATTACGATTTCAGAGTGATCGCGGAGAATCAATACGGTCAATCGGAACCAGCCGTTACATCCGAACCGATCAAAGCCAGACATCCGTTCGATCCGCCAGGTGCTCCCGGTGCTCCCAGAGGCATCGAAACCACCGAAGATTCCATAACTATCACGTGGGCCAAACCCAGACACGACGGAGGCTCTCCCATCACGGGCTACGTCGTCGAAAAGCGCCTGATCACCGAAGACAAATGGACCAAGGCGTCGCACGCCCAAATACCCGACACGACGCTCAAAGTCATCAATCTCATCGAAAACCACGAATACGAATTCAGAGTCGCGGCCGTCAACGCCGCCGGACAAGGCCCTTGGAGCGCCGCTTCGGACGCCATCTGCGCCAGGGCCGCCCCGAGCGCGCCCAAGATCACGTCGGACTTGAGCATCCGCGACATGGTCGTCATCGCCGGCGAGGAACTGAAGATAACCGTTCCGTACGTGGCGACGCCCAAACCCAAAGCTTCGTGGACCATCAACGGCGACGAAGTGATCCCGGATAACCGGATCAAAATGGATACCACTGACATCGCTTCAGTGTTCGTCAACAAATCGGCCAAGAGGTCCGATACTGGAAGCTACACGATCAAGCTCACGAACTCCGAAGGATCGGACTCGGCTTCTTGTAGAGTCCTCGTGGTGGACAGACCGCTGCCGCCTCAAGGACCGCTCGACATTTCCGACATTACGCCTGATAATTGCTCTTTGGCGTGGAGACCTCCGTCGGACGACGGCGGTTCTCCCATTACGAATTACATCGTCGAAAAATTAGACACCAACGGTATTTGGGTGAAAGTCAGCAGTTTCGTACGAAACACCCATTACGACGTTATGAGCCTGGAACCCAACAGGAAATACAGCTTCAGAATTCGAGCTGAGAATCAATACGGTATCAGCGAGCCTCTAGAAAGCACGGAACCCATCACGGCTAAATATCCGTTCACGATACCGGATCCGCCCGGAGCACCTCGCGTAACCGACTGGGACTCCTCCACAATTTATCTATCGTGGGACAGACCGAACAACGACGGCGGTTCGCGCATACAGGGCTACAAACTTGAATACCGCGACATCGCCCACGACACGCACTGGCAAAGCGCCAGCGATTACCTGATCAAAGACACGCACTTCGACCTGTTCAACATGACCAGCGGCCACGAGTACGAGTTCCGCGTCCGCGCCAAGAACGCCGCCGGATTGAGCAAACCCTCCGCCTCTTCGGCCGCCTTCAAGCTGAAGGGCAAATACAACGTCCCGTCGGCGCCGCGCAACCCCAACGTGGTGAACGTCGGCAAAGGCTACGTCGACCTGACGTGGGAACCGCCGTCCAGCGACGGCGGCTCCAGAATCACCGGCTACGTCATCGAGAAGAGGGAGATCGGCTCGCCGCTGTGGACCAAGTGCAACGACTACAACGTCACCGACACCAATTACACCGTGCTCAATCTCATGGACAAGTCGGAGTACGAGTTCCGCATCTACGCCGTCAATTCGGCCGGCAAGAGCGAGCCGAGCAACTGCACCACGCCCGTCAAGGTGTGCGAGGTGCTGGGCGGCGAGAAGCCCGAGTGGCTGCGCCGGCTGAACAACACGTCGGCGCCGTTGGGCAAGTCCGCGACGCTCGAATGCGAGGCGTCCGGCAAGCCGGAGCCGGCCTTCAGGTGGATCAAGAACGGACGCGAGATCAAGATCGGCGGCAGGTTCAGGACCGAGGTCAAAGGCGGTACGGCCTTCTTGCACATCTCCGATTTGCTCGGCATCGACGAGGGCGATTACACCTGCGAAGCGAGTAATACACTCGGCGCTGTCACGACGACGGCGCGACTCAAGATCGGCACTCCGCCGAGAATCGAACGTTTACCTGGAGACCTGTACTTAGCCGAAGGCGATAACACCAAGATTAAAATTTACTACTCCGGAGATCAACCACTCGACGTTACGTTATCCAAGAACGGTCGAAACATCGATGATTCTACTCACATTAGATTCAGCGTGTTCGATGATTACATAATCATATTCATTAAAGACATCAACAAAAACGACGGAGGAGACTACAATCTTACCGTTAAGAACGACAGCGGAAGCGCGTCGGGCAGCTTTACGGTATACATCACAGGATTACCGGGACCGCCGAACGGACCTCTCGAAACCACGGAAATAACCAAACACACCTGCAGGCTATCTTGGAAACCACCGAGCTACGATGGTGGTCTGAGAATCACTCACTACATCGTCGAAAGAAAAGACGTGCTCGGAACGCACTGGATCACCGTTTCGAGCTCCTGCAAGGACACTAATTTCACCGTTCAAGGACTAACCGAAGGACAAGAGTACCTATTCAGAGTGCTAGCCGTCAACGACAACGGAGCCGGACCCGCGCTCGAAGGAGTCAATCCGATAAAGGCCAGAGCTCCGTTCGATCCCCCGGGTCCCCCGGGAGTACCCAAAGTCACGCAAGTCGGCGGGGACTTCGTCAATCTCGAATGGACCAAACCCGAGGAAGACGGAGGCGCCCGCGTTCAAGGCTACTGGATCGACAAGTGCGAAAAGGGTAGCTCCACGTGGCAGCGCGTAAACGTTTCCTTGTGCCTGCCCACGCAGATCAACATATCGAACCTCATCGAAGGGCGCAAATACGAGTTCAGGGTGTTCGCGCAGAACATCGCCGGCATTTCGCCGCCCTCGAGCGCCTCCAACAGCGTGGAAATCAAGGACCCGCAGGCCGCTACTCCGCCGGAGATTATCAAACCGCTCAAGAACGCCCAATGCATCCAAAACCACAACGCCAAGTTCGAGTGCACGATCATCGGAAATCCCACTCCGCATATAACTTGGTACAAAGGCGCTAGGGAGATAACCAACGGCTCCAGGTACCACATCTACAGCGAAGGGGAAGTTCACCATCTAATCATCCACGATGTATTCGGAGAAGATGCCGATGAGTACGTTTGCAGGGCAGTCAACAAAGCTGGTGTTAAATCAACTCGAGCTGAATTATTGATAATGAGTAAGTTGTAGTGTGTTTTAGACAAGTAGCGTGCTAATTTTCACACTTTTTTTAGCTGCTCCGAAATTGAACATTCCTCCGAGATTCCGCGATTCCGCCTACTTCGACAAAGGAGAGAACGTCGTCATCAAGATCCCCTTCACCGGCTACCCCAGGCCGAAGATCACTTGGGTAAGAGAAGGCGAAGTGATCGAATCGGGCGGTCACTACCACGTCGAAGTGAAGGACCGCCACGCCATCTTGACCATCCGCGACGCCAGCAAAATGGACAGCGGCCCGTACAGGATAACTGCCGAAAACGAGCTGGGACAAGACACGGCCATTATCAAGATCCAAATCGCCGACAGGCCCGACCCGCCGCGCTTCCCCGCAGCCGACAACATCGGCCACGACTCGTTGGCCCTGACGTGGAAAGCGCCCGTTTGGGACGGCGGCAGCAACATCACGAATTACCTCGTCGAACGACGCGAGCATCCCCTATCCACGTGGATACGAGTGGGCAACACCAGGTTGAATACGATCGCTGTGAACGGCTTAACGCCCGGCCACCAGTACGAATTCAGAGTGTACGCCGAGAACATCTACGGCCGCTCCGATCCGTCGGACTTGAGCCCGCTCGTGACGATGAAAGACACCGTCAAGAAGCAGGTGCAGAAGAGAAAGTACGAGGTCGACGAAAACGGCAAGAAGATCCGCGAATCGCACAAGGAACCGGTCAAAGACTACGACAACTACGTCTTCGACATTTACTCGAAGTTCGTGCCGCAGCCGGTCGAGATCAAAACGCGCTCGGTCTACGACGATTACGATATCCTCGAGGAGATCGGCACCGGCGCCTTCGGCGTGGTGCACCGCTGTCGCGAGAGGAAAACCGGCAACATATTCGCCGCGAAATTCATACCGGTATCGCACGCGATGGAGAAGGAGCTGATCAGAAAGGAAATCGACATCATGAACCAACTGCACCATCCGAAACTCATCAATCTGCACGACGCCTTCGAAGACGACGACGAAATGGTACTAATCTACGAGTTCCTCTCCGGAGGCGAGCTGTTCGAAAGAATCACGGCTGAAGGCTACCAAATGTCCGAGGCGGAGGTCATCAACTACATGAGGCAGATCTGCGAAGGCATCAAGCACATGCACGAAAGGAACATCATCCACCTCGACATCAAACCCGAGAACATCATGTGCCAGACCAGGAAGAGCACCAACATCAAGCTCATCGACTTCGGACTGGCCACGAAACTCGACCCCAACGAAATCGTCAAGATTTCCACCGGCACGGCGGAATTCGCCGCGCCGGAGATCGTCGAACGCGAACCCGTTGGATTCTACACCGACATGTGGGCCGTCGGCGTGTTGGGCTACGTCCTATTGAGCGGATTATCCCCGTTCGCCGGAGAAAACGACATCGAAACCTTGAAGAACGTCAAAGCCTGCGACTGGGACTTCGACGAGGAGGCGTTCGGGAACGTCTCCGACGAAGGCAAGGACTTCATCAGGAGGCTCCTGGTTAAGAACAAAGAGTACGTTGTTGATCGGTACGAAATATCTCCCTTCTCGTTAACTATAATGTTTTATTTTTAGAAAACGTATGACAGCTCAGGAATGCCTGGTGCACGCCTGGCTCAGCGGCGACCACAGCGACAAGACCCAAGTCATCGATCAATCCAAATACCTTCGTATGCGCGACAAGATCCGCTCCAAATACGACGCTTGGGATTCCTTCGCGCTGCCTATTGGACGATTATCGGAATATTCTTCGTTGAGGAAATTATTAGTAGACAAATACAAAATACACGATGCTTACTTCGGTAATATTTTCGCTTAAAATTTCTCTTCGCCAGAGTAACATTGTTCTGTTCGGATTTAGATCGAAGACAAGCAGCACCGAGATTCGTCATCAAACCGCAAAGCGCTTTCTGTTATGAAGGACAAAGCGTGAAATTCTACTGCAGAGTCATCGGAGTCGCAGCTCCGACTGTCAGCTGGTACCACAACAACGTAGAACTAAGACAAAGCGTTAAATTCATGAAGAGATACGCCGGAGACGATTACTATTTCGTAATAAACAGAGCCAGGTTACAAGACAGGGGAGAATACATTATCAGAGCTGAAAACCACTACGGAGCTAGAGAAGAAGTTGTCTTCCTCAACGTTCAACGTAAGTTGAACACACAAGTACTCTTACTAACACTATTCTAATCGGATTAAAACCTTCTAGCTCTACCTAAAGTCGTACCCGAGTACAAACCCGAAGCGCCGGTCACCCGCAGAAGGGAGCCGCTACCTTACACCCTATGGAGGGAAGAGAAAGAGTGCGCGCCGAGCTTCACCTTCCTGCTCAGACCTCGAGTCATGCAGGAGCGCGACACCTGCAAGCTGCTGTGCTGCCTGAGCGGCAAGCCGTTCCCCACCGTCAAGTGGTACAAGGACAAGCGGGAGCTCAGCAAATACGAGTACTCCATGTCGCACTCCGACGGCGTCATCACCATGGAAATCGTCGGATGCAAACCGTCCGATTCGGGCAAGTACACGTGCGTCGCGACCAACGAGCACGGCGTCGACGAGACCTCCTGCGTGGTCATCGTGGAGGGCGAGACCAGCACGCCGGAGCAACACGAAATGGCCAACAAACTGATGTACTCCGGCGACAGGAAGTACATCGAGCAGCCCATCAAACCCGCACCGGCGCAGATCACCATCCGGAAGCCCTATCCCAACGCTAACCCCATTCAACCGAAATCTAACAATCCCAGCGCGACGAGCCTCGCGCCGAGATCCAGCAATCCGAGCGCTTCGAGCCTAGCTCGATCGGGCTCCAACCTTAGCGTTGGCGATGGAGACAGAAGAGCGCCCAGAAAGTATGGAAGATTAGACTCCACCGGAAGCCCCAACAGATCCAGAAGCGCTACCAAAGAACTAGCCCGTAAGTCTTACCTAGAGTAATTAGCTTTACAGGTCTGGTAGGTTATTGGTTTTCGTGACTGTTTCTATAACACATAGCGTATTAAATTTGCAATGCAATGTTTTAGTACCAGACGATTCGACCATGTACGCACCACAATTCACGAAGACTCTATCGGACTTGACGGTAAACGATGGCGAAAGCTTAACGCTGACAGCGCACGTGAAAGGCGATCCGGACCCGCAGATAGTCTGGACGAAGAACGGAAAAGCCCTGAGCTCGTCGGAGGTGGTCGATCTTAAATACAAGAACGGAATAGCGAAGCTGCACATCAACGAAGTGTACCCGGAGGACGAGGGAGAGTACGTTTGCAAGGCGACCAATTCGATTGGGGCGGCCGAAACGAAATCCAAACTGACCATAAAACGTAAGGGTGTTGCTCGTGCGAATGCCTCGTTTCGATACGATCCGATTTCGGTTTCAGCCATGGAAAACGCTACAAACGGCAAAAAGAAGAGTTCTGAGGACAAACCGCCGAGGATAGTCGATCATTTGAAGTCGGCGTTCGTCGACGACGGTAAACCCGTGACGCTATCGTGTCGCATAATCGGAGCGGACAAATTCGACGTCGTATGGTTGCATAACAACAAGGAGATCAAGCCGTCGAAAGATTTCCAGTACACCAACGAAGCCAACATATACAAATTGATCATCGCTGAAATATTCCCCGAAGACGCCGGCGCCTACACCTGCGAAGCATTCAACGATGCCGGCGAGAGCTTCAGTAGTTGTACGCTAAATGTCCTTATTCCAGGGGAACAGCCAAAAAGTCCCGTTTTCAAAACATTCCCGATTTCCGCCACGGTAACTAAACCATTGGAATTTTACGTATTTTCGCATCGTTAACGATATGAATGTTTATTAGGTATCTGAAGGAGAATCAGCGACCTTCGTAGCAGAAACAGAAGACGACCCATTGCAGATAAACTGGTTGAAAGATGGAAAACCGATCAAGGAGAGCAGTGCCAAATACAATTTCACCGCTGACGGAAAACGTTACACCCTACAAATCCTATCTTGCAATTCCAACGACATAGGACAATACCAAGCGAAGGCTATTGGAAAGAAAGGAGAAACCTTCGCGGCCTTTTCATTGAATATAGTATCATCTAGCGAGGTCTAGAGACCGCGCTGTTCAATTTAAAACGCTGACTAACGAACGACTTGCTCCAAAAAATGACATGTTTATGTAACATAGTGTATGTAAAGATAATATATTTTTAAATGTTTTTTTTTTCTATGAAATAACGGGGTTGTAATCGTCCGAATTGTGCGCACGCTGCCATTAGCATCCTCTACAATTTAACATCGCCGTTTTGGTGAGGTGCGCGCCTTTTGGGCGAATGCAAACCGATCAAGCGATATATATTTTCACGTAATCTATTTCGAATAAAAAGGAGCAAATTCATCGACTTTATATTTTAACGGTATGAAATGAGAACATTTGTTTTATTCAGTGTGAAAGAGCTTTAGCCATTTTTTTGTCGTCGACCCATTCTATATTAATTATTTAAGTTTCATAAAACATATTGCTTTTGCAATGCCCTACCAAAAAATTGTACCATATTATGTAAACAAGAAAAAATAAATATTATTTTTTAATCAAGTAGTTTCTTTGAACGGGTATCTAATTTCTGATTTATCCCGGTTTTACCATTGAGTAAAAGTCAAGTGGCTTCTGAGAAATATTTTTAAAATTTTTAATTAATTAAAGGATAATATTTGTGCAGAAACGATTTTCCAGAAATTCGAGATTATCTATAAAGTTGTTATACATATATTAAATCAACACATCATTTACTTGATGACCTTATGTACATAGAGGTCAATGCTATAAGACTAGGTTTAACTGATTTTAATACCCAGTAGTTTGTGGACATTTAAGAACAAACGTGTTTCTCTATTGCAAATAAAATTGTAAGTAGTAATTTATTCTAGTATTTAACCAGTACTCGCCGGAAAATCTATTACTTTAATAATTAATCGATCGCGCTTTGTTGAATGATTTACTATTAAAGCCTGAATATAAAATGTTTTAGGTGTATAAATGTCTAATAATACGAGTTTTGTGACATTCTGAGTAATTGATAGGAGCAGTTCTTAGATTTACAGTGAAAAACATTCCGTACCAAAATAAAATCTAAAAAAATATACGCATCTTTTACACTCAAAAATAAACCGAGCATGATGTCGGTTCAAAGAACATTATTCATGTACTGTTAAAATTACATTTAGCATAACAAAAAAAACAAATGTTTATTGACATCACATGGACCAATAAAACTGCATATTTAGAATTTTATTTTTGGAAACGGACTAACCGTTGCCAGTTTGATGTCATTTGATTTTCAATTAAATGACACTTAAATTCAGGAAGAAAAAATTGACAATTTTCGAAAAATATTTTTAATAATCAGGACAATAATTGTTATGTTTGTACTTACCTGATAACCAAAGAAAGTAAATGTTTATAGAGCAAATACAAACAGGTGTAGAAAGATAAGATAAGCATGTATTAGAAAATGAAAATCTCTAATCACTTATCACATATTTTATTTGTGTACTATGTATGTACAGATCGACATAAATAGCCGAACATATTCAGTATTTATATGTTTTTTTAAACGGACTGTAGTCAATATATTAAAGCAATATTTTTCTAATTCACTCGGCAAATATTAGACAATGTGTTATCAATCTCCGGTACGTTGACACAACTATTTTTATTATTTGGCCCCAAAACATAAAGCCGCAGTCAATTACTCAATTTTCTAAATTCGTACCGTTGAAAATCACCAGAAAATAAATAAAAATAACCGTAGCAATATATTCGAAAACCCGTCAGATTTGAATAAGTGTGTAAACAAATCGTTCATCAATTCGAATTTTTTTTTCTAATAAACCAATTATAAATACAAAACAAATCAAGATAATAAAAAAAACAATAAGAAAACTTCGAGGGGACATTTCCAATATCTCTTTATCACTACAAGTGGCTACAACGAGATCTAATCGAAGCGCCACGAGAAGCAACCGGAATCCTCCAAAAAAATCCTCCTCCACCGTCTCTGCTAATTAACTCCAACAAGGCCAACCTAGCTATTAACAAAAAAACTTTTATCTCGACCATTATCGCGACGATATGATAAAATTTCGCTAAACAATCGTCCGCAGGTCCGACGCATGCCCGACATGTCATCGGAGTCGAATTCAACGATTCTAGGAGGACCGCGATTCCGGCTGGTCGCCCTGCTCTTGCTAGTTTATATAAGCCGGTGCTCGTGCGCTACGACAAACCGGAGAACCCAGCCGGCGCTCCAACAAGGTGCCAGACCCGCCACCGGAACCGACCGAAGGACCATGGAACCAGCGTTCGCAAACGCCGGCCACCAGGCCGGCCTCGAGATATGGAGGATCGAGGTGAGTCGATTCTTCCATTTATAGCGTTATTAATTGTACTGTATGAAGGCGATTTGCGTTGCCCTCGATTGTACCATCGCGTGTACCATCGAATGCAACTTAAACCCCTGCTTAGGTGAATTTTTTTTTTTTTTTTTGGTTGAGTATATTTTTTTTGTTTACAAAGTATTTGTGGCGATGCGTATTAATAGGTGTCTCTTCGTCTGGTAATTATTCACGTCCTACGCGGATTCTTGGGAGTTTGTGCATTTCGCCGGAGCCGGGTGGTTAAATTCGGTGAAGTCGTTAAATTAAAAATAATTCGATCGTTAAATCCGATAATGTTGATTCGGTTCACAGGAGAATTATTTTATTGCTTGTAAACAGGGATTATAAAAATGATTTTGGATCGAATTGGAGGTGGTTTATTGTTTTTTTTTAATGTAATTTTAGAATTCATTTCCACGGTTGTAGATTAACGGTTAATCCTGGCATAATATTCTTTAAATTTATATGTTACCGCAATTTTTACTATGACAAAGATATTTTATAGCCTCCGACGATATGAACTATAAATATTTGTACCGGGTATATAATTTTCGAGTATACATAACATATAATTAAACCACATACATTATTCTCGTTTACAATTTATGAATAACGCATAGGTACTTTAAGATAGTACTACAGTATTTGTTTGTTTATAATAAATTGCGTCTATAATATGACTCATAGGTTTTTCAATTAGTATCAAGGAAACGGAAAAGGTTAGAATCTAATAAAAACCGCTTAACCGTAACGCTTGGTCTATTCCTTTGCATTGACTCATTAAAATGTTTTACCAACAAAATAAAATCCCGTCGAGATTCTTAAATGGGTTTCTTAGCAACTCTAATTTAACAATTCAGTGCGCTCGTTTTCTTTTATCTGGCAAAAATTCTGCCCTTTAAAGGAGCTAATACAAAGTTTTTTTTTCTAAAAAATCGATTTTGGTAGGCGAGTTATCTTTTAATAAGGAGAAATCCGATAAAGCAATGACCTATTTAGAGTCTCCAAAGGGTGGAGATTTAGGTGTTGCGACCTCGCATCGAATGCCAACTCGTTTTAATATTAGCCGGAAAATATAGAAAATTACCGTTCTATTTTTATTTTCCATTGCACAATTTCAAATGGCAAAAAAATTTCCCCAAAATTTAATTGTTCGTAGATGTTATAATAGTTTAATCGCAAGTTTCTGTGTTTGTGCAGCTATCAGTTGTGCACTATCGCGTTATTATTTCCTTTCTAATTTGAATATGTATGAAAAAATAATTTTTTAACTCGTTAGATAAGCGCGGTGTAGCGCTAATTAAGCCAATGCACACATATTAAATGATAAATGGAACCGAACAAAACGGCTATTATTCCTAAAATACATCATGTGTAATCTGCAAGTACATCTGCCAGGCGAATTTCCAATATTTTTTATCTCATTTAATCCGCTTTAATCTTGGTGTCAAATAATTTCAAATGTCCCGTAAACTACTCGTAATTGCACTGTTATTATTTATAGGACTTTAAACCAGTACCTTATCCCAAAAACCAGTATGGCAAATTCTACTCCGGAGATTCATACATAGTTTTGAACGTAAGTAACCAAAATTATCATCGAGAGTTTCGATAATTTACCGGCTTATTTCTAGACCAAAATCAGAAACAGCGGAGCCAAATCATACGATCTTCACTTCTGGTTGGGATCAGACACTTCCCAGGTAGGTACAACCGTTTATACCCATTACCCCATTTGATTGTGTATAATATATGAATTAAAATTATCAGGATGAAGCCGGATCAGCGGCCATATTCTCGGTGCAACTGGACGACTCCCTCAACGGCGAGCCGATCCAGCACCGCGAAACCCAGGAGCACGAATCCCAGTTGTTCCTCTCGTACTTCAAAAACGGAGGCATCAGGTACCTGCCCGGCGGCGTCGCGTCCGGCTTCCACCACGTCGATCCCAACGCCTTCGTGAAGAGGCTCTTCCACGTCAAAGGCCAGCGCAACATCAGAGTCAAGCAGGTCACGCCGACCATCGCCTCCATGAACACCGGCGATTGCTTCATTCTGGACGTCGGCAAGGACATCTACATCTACGTGGGCAACAAAGCTCGAAGGGTCGAGAAGATGAAGGCCATCGCCGCGGCGAATCAGATCAAATCCCAAGATCACGCCGGTAAAGGCAGGATTACTATAGTTGGTATGTATTCTAAAAACTTCCTAAAGAACCCATCTGATGAGTACAATTTTTGTTCTATAGATGAATACAGCGGAGAATCGGATTACAACGATTATTTCAAAGCGTTGGGAGAAGGTTCGAGGGACAGCGTCCCGGACGACACAACCAGCGACGACGACGAAACCTACGAGAGAAACGAAGGCAAACTGGTGAGCCTCTACAAAGTATCCGACGCTTCGGGCAGCCTTCAGATCACGAAAGTGGCCCAGGGCAACCTCGAAGCCAGCATGCTGGATCCCAGCGATTGCTTCATCCTCGACACCACCGACGCGCTGATATACGTCTGGATAGGGAGCAAGTGCGACGAGAAGGAGAAGCGCGGGGCCATGAGCAAGGCGGACGCCTTCCTGCAGCAGCACAACCACCCGAAGTGGACGCACGTCCAGAGGATCGTGCACAACGCCGAGCCGGCCGCTTTCACGCAGTACTTCAGGAACTGGCAGGCCGTCGGGGAGCTGCGGCCGCGCCTGCTGCGCTCCGTCAGCGACGGCGCCCGCCTCTATCACTGCCACATCAGGTCGCGCAGCCACATGCTGAAGGTCGAAGAGATCAAGAACTTCGATCAGGACGACCTGTGGAACGACGATATAATGATCCTGGACGCCGACGACGCGGTGTTCGTTTGGGTGGGCAAAGGGGCATCCGAGGAAGAGAGGAACAAAGGGCCTAAATACGCGCACGTAAGTTTTTGAATCTAATTGGGTGTTTAAAGTAATGCATTTTGTTATGTCCTTAGCGAATGTTGGCTAAACACGGACGCGTGGAGGTACCGGTAAAGGTAATCGAGCAAAACGATGAGCCTGAGGAATTTACCAAGCACTTCCCACAATGGACTGCTGGTCACTGGGACAATTTGCCCGATGTTAGAGACCACATTAGGAACGATGAAGACTGAACAGTGGCCTTATTATTGGATTATATAATGTACAGATTTGGCTTTAATTGTTTGCTACATGAACGAATTTTACCGCTGTTAATATAAATAATATTTTATCATAGAATTTCAAAGTTTTAGTGAAACAGTTGCCGTTTCATATTTTTTCGATAGCTTTTAATTACTTGAGCACATTTTAGACATCAGGGAATAAATGGTCGCCTAAAGAAGACATACTTTACAATTTTTGACGAATGTATTTTGTAATTAAATGTTTTAGCTGAGCTAATTAAATATATTAAATTACCCAATCATGTTTTTTATTTACTTTTTTTTATTCGTCTTCGAATTAAACTTGATTTAATATCACTATAAGGGATTGACCTTTTTTGATATACGTATAAGTAATCTTAAAAAATTTTATAATAAAGTCAGGAGTCATACATTATAATCCACATAATAATATTTCTACATGTTGAGGACTCTGAGGAGTCCATTAGCAAAAAAGAAGAGAAAAAAAAATGACAAATGACGTTGACCACTGACAGACTTGACGTGTGTCAATTCTACTCGTCCAATGATGTTATGACAACTTGACAACTATGCATTTGTTCATTTATCTAAGCATGGCAATATCGCTTTTTGTCTGGTCGGCTGGTCGGCTGTCGGCTGTTCATGAGTAGCAATTTAATTATTTTCATTATTTTTGTCTTTTGAGAAGTATATTATGGAAGATTATTTCGAATCTTTTCCTATAGAAATAAAAAAATGGGATATCCTTAGGGCTATGCACATGACTGACCTTAATTTTGGTAGGTATTTATTAACATACATTTCTTTTTTGTTAACTAATCCTTCTTATTAGGTGCCTATTTAGCCATTTAAATCGAATAAATCGGTCAATTTTATTAATAAAAATAATGCTGTAGTCGTATTTTTAGTCGTGCTATTTAAATCTGTGTAAATCGAGTTTTTGGTTATTTTACTGTTTCTTAAAAATTGATTGATTGGGTAATTTTCTTGAAGATTCCTACAAAAAAAATCACGATGTCTAAAAATTTTGCACTCGATTGTAATTAAAATGTTTGAATGTTTTTTTAGATGTTAGAAAACGAAAGGATCATGGCAATAAAAAAACAATACCGAATGTACAACTACTTCCAAGACAAAATGTTACCTTATACGGGACAATGCCCAAAATGGAGCAGAGAATATTTACAAAATGTAAAGAGTGTAGGCTAGTTTTTAATCCTAGGAACATTATGACACATAAAGTTTGCCCGGAAAGGTTTCATTCCTCAACATCGGATAGTTCCCAAAAGGATAGCAAAACCAAAGGAAATTCATCGAGAAAATCCCATTCCTATCTACCACCTCTGTTTAAGGTGAGCAAAACTGTAAGTTCCACAATTTTCTTTAAATTTACACAAGTTAGTCACGTTCCTAAAAACCCCATTGATCAGCATTTATTACATGTAACTTTAATCTAATCAAATTCTCTCTAAACCACTTATCATCAATTCGTAAATAAAACAAACTAATGGGTCATTATTCCAATGCTATTGCTCATCCTAATAAACTCTGTAATTTTCAGAAATCTCCATCCCCGTCAGTTAGCATTCCAGATTTATCGCAATGTAAAGTATCGCCGAAAATGTCCAAGAGTTTGCCGCTATCGTCGCCCTCGACGCTGACTAATTCGAATAAATCCGAAACGAGACTGTCGCCGTCGAGCAACTTCTCGAAAGTCAACTCCCACTCGCCCAGATCCTCGCTGAAGACCTCTCTGAAATCGGCGCAGTCGGACAGCAACTGCAGCAGCACGAGCAGCACCAGCAGCAGGCACAAGAAGAGCAGGAAGAGCAGCAGCAGCAACAACGCCAAGGTCACAGAAGAGTTCGATCCCAACGTGCATTGCGGAGTCGTCGAGGGCAACAGCGGCCCCTGCACTAGATCCATAACCTGCAACAATCACAGGGTAAATCCGACAGGCGCCCTCTGCGGTTTTTGTAGACTAATCGGTGCGTTTCAGGTGCAATCGAGGAAATCCGCGTCGAGCCAGCTGATAACGAAGAGGACGCCTGGCAAAGAGAAAGAGCCGATGCACGGCTCTAATTGTTCCTATACGACCCCAAATGGCCAGCCAGACGAAGCAAAAGACTCTTTTTCTCAAAATACTACCTACGCACCCGTTGCAGGTGTGCTCTCAAGCGCAAATGAACTCCTGGAGACCAACCACAGCCAGCCGCCAGTGTTAACCAAAATTAGTGAACCGAAACAAACGTTTATTAGACAAACTACCTCAGTTGTTGTCGCTAAGGTTTGTCAGATGATATTTCTAAGGCTATGTAGCGCTTGAACTAACCATTTATAATGAGCAAAATATTTTTTTTACTACACCATCGGATGGTATAAATTATTATTTTGCTCTTTTGAGTCGCCCTTTGGCGATTTGTTCGATTAGACTTTGTATAGTAGAAACATTAGGTTTTCTTCAAAAACTATTTGGGAAATAATTGTATTGATAAGTTCTCGTATGAAACTACTTTTAAGAAATTAATTTTCGAGTACGAGAATTTATCATGAATTATGTTAATATTTGTAGTATCTTTTTGTCTAATAAGGTTCATACATATGAGTTTTCTGGCATTTTTAGCAACCTATCTTGACTGATACCGAGAATGGTAATACAAAAACTTTGAATAATAACTACATTATGAATAAGCATTCGAAAGACAGTGATATCGGATCTGTTCCTTTAGTTTATATGCCAATGGGCCTAATATCGGTAAGCAACATTGTATTTTTTTGTTATCGCCGCACCCGAGCATCTTTTAAAAGAAAGCCTTTTTTCAGTTTGTACATATAGGAAAAAGCGTCATTTGTTTGGAATCGCAGAAGAACCAGCTTCAGAACCCTCCCGTGACGAATCAATCGTTGTACCTCGCACTGCCCAACCAGCATTCGAACATAAAAATGTACAAGTCGCACCCGAAACCCGTCGCAGTGCCAAACTACGGAACGAAAAAAGTCCGTGGGGCCCTTTTGCTGTCGAATCGACGCTTGAAATGTCAAAGAGACGATATACTGAAGGCCATAACCCCCAAGCGTAGGTTAATTAACAATACTCAGCTAACCCGTGATTTATTTACTAGTAAATACCCGACGCAGAACGATGGGTACTAGCGAACTGCATTATAAAAATGAACTACTTGTGATAGCAAACAAATGAGGCTGACTTAACTTAGTGGGGTGTCAATCAGTTGAAGCGAGTCCACCTCATGCGATGCCGAAGAAGCGAGACACACGATCGCGACTCTCTAATTATGACAGGTGCTTGGTTTTTTTATGAAACAAGCACATCTTGACTCGTGTAAGCGCACCTCGATTTGTGGGAAATTGTGGCCGTGATAAATGTAATTTTCTAGATGTCACTCGATTGATTTCGTGTACCCCCGAGTCACCGGGAGTCCCTGAGGTGGCTTGAGGACGCTATGCAATCGTTAAAGTGCGCGCTCTAAGGCAAATTTTTTATGTGGGTATATTTTGTAATTCGTTTTCTTGGGGTTAAATCGTTTAAAATTTCACATACATTATATTTTTTTTGCTTAGGCGGATATTTAATTTAAAAAAATACGTACACCAAAAATTCGTGACTGTCGCGAGTGGCATCTAGATTTATAATGTTTGAATTAATCGAATTTTGTGACTGTGTACATTAAAGTAAGGAATTGTTTTTTCATCGACATCGCAAACATTCTTGCGATGCTGGTGGAAAGGTGTGTGTGTAAGATTAGAAAAAAAATCTCTAAAACTTGTTTTAAAGACAAATTTAAATTAAACACGCGGTTATTCTGTATCATTTCTACTTTTTTTTGTGCGAAATTTCCGTTTTTTTTTTTGAATAATTACATTTACGCCGACACAAATGATTTGATGTAGAATAGCCTCGTAATTATATTTGTTATAATTAGGGAGCCTTCCTCCAGATTTTGATGCGGATCTGGTTCGGTGCGTATTATTATCAAGTATTTAAAAAGAGAAAATACTCTATACCGCTCCTCATTAATTAATAATTACCTAATTGCATACAAAGTTATCTGTATATATGTATTATAATTTTGAGCTGTTTTCTATTTATTTGTTTTTTTAAATTATTTATCAGGCAATTCACTCTTTATTTTTTTAAATATGTGTAAAATATCTTTCATCACAATAATCGATAATAATGTATGTTGAAACGTTTCGACTTTTATTTTCAACTGTTTCTATTCCAAGAAGTATTTGTTTGGTAGGTGATATAAACAACGCAATCATTTTAATATATATTTTAATAACACTTTCTCTCGTAATAAAAACCTGGAATATTACAATAACAAAAGTACAATAAATATGGTATAAACTAAAATAAAATGCTGCTAATACTGGTACAGGTTGTGAAATGTTCAGTCTTCAGTAATAAGGCAATGAGAGAGAAAGTTTACATACAAAAACATTTACAAAAATACAATCTATATGAAGTACATATTTCAATAATTACAATTGTAAATTTTATAAGAATCACGTCTCGTCTTAAAATGACAATTTTTTACAAAAAAAATCAACCAATCGCATAACTACAGGAATATTTTACATCACAGGGCGGAAGAAAAATGTACAAAAAATACAAATGAGGGAATATTAGCTATCAAGTTTTCTCCATGTTTTGATGCACAGTTACAGGTACAGTGATGCAATTCCGTTCGGGAATCCTTGTAAACATAGGAGACAGCAACCTAGGCGTGTCTTTGCTTACGTGCAAAGACGTACTATCCGGTAGAATCTCATCTTCGAGGGAATCCATCTCGACGGGAGCCAAGGACATGTGCTCCGATTCATCGTGGGGCGTCATAGTGGAATAACCATGATCGGAACCCGCAGGAATCGCCGGTCTCCTGTACGTACCAGCGACGCAGTAGGGACTAATAACGTTCGGGTGTTCTTCCTTAATTAGTTTGTCCCTGTGATTCCCCAAATCGTGGAAGTTATCGGCCACGTTCAGATCGCTCATGCGTAGTTGGTCTTGGGTGGAAGACAAATGGAACCTTTCCGTTATTTGGCTCGAGTAGGACCGGTAGCAGATCAGCAAAAACACGAACACTAACGTGATTGCTACGATAGAATAGACTATAGGACCTACGGGGGAAAATTCCGGCGGGCTTCCCGCCTTACCTACGGATTTATCCGTAATATCGAACATGCCCTTGAAGCAGGTCGATATGGACGCGCAAAACGGCGTCTTTAAATAATTCTTGTCCATGTCGAACATGCACCATTCGCAGCCCAGGAGGCCCAAACAGTCCAAATGGCTCGTTTGCTCGTGGCAATTAATGGCGAAACAAGGTTTTAAATTGTTGTTAGAATTAACGATAAAACTGTCGCCCAACGATTCGCTGGTGTATTTCGTACACGGCATATTTTCGGAGGAATTCGAATAAACTGGATTCGGATCGCACATATCCGAATTATTATCTAAAGGGCACTCGCAGGGGCATTCGCACTCTTTCTGCTCCATCCTGTTGCAATTCAAACATAACCTATCTATTATACTACACGGGCAAAACGTCGCACCGAAGTTACAGGAGACATTCACTATGCCAACGAATATATTTGTGCTAGGAATGTTCGTGATTTGGTACTTAACACACTGTTCGCCAGGCGCGAAGTTAACCAGCACACCATCGAAACTAGTGTTGAGTTTGTAATATCTTTGAATGGTACCATCTCCGTAACTGTTGCATAGAAGTTTCTGTATGAAATGCTTGTGGTTCAATATATCATTGGACACTAAGGATTCCTTGTGGACTATGTGTTGCTGTTCGATAGGTTTAGCGCCGTTCGCTATCATTAAACTAGGATGGTAAATTACATAGCCTTCATCATCAATCAGGAAACACGTGATATTTTTATCCAGGCAATCGGGCAAGTATTTCACCAGCGTTTTTAACATGAATCCATAAGTCACATCCATCCCAACTACTAATTGCGATGTGGCATAAGCTAGGGTTATGATATAACCAGCGCCCCCTTTGTCCAGATACGGAGGCATCAACACCACTTTTCCTCTGAACTGCCAGGACTTGTAATACCACAAAGCCTTCGTGGGAGTCCAGCCCGTTTTGAGCGTACTGCCTGGAAACATCTGGAAAACGCCCGAAGATGACACGGCGTACCGTCGCACGACGTACTTCGACATCTCCGACGACAAATGGCGCTGCCTCAAAAACGACAGCACGTGCGACAAAAGCGACACCTCGTCCCTGATTTCTTCCTTCAGCCCCGGATTGATCAGCAGCCTGCTGTCGTCCTTCAGATACGCCACGAAGTCCTGGGTGTGCAGCTTGTTTTGGCTGGCGTGCGAGGCCAGAAAGGGCGATCGGAAGCACGACGGGCTCAAATACAACGATGTCACGTCTGAAGAAGATACTATGTAAACCAGATCTAATGTTTGTAACACGAACATTTACCTATAGTTGAGAGTAAATTCAGGTGACGGCATAATTTGTAGTCCTCCAGATTCTGGTAGAGGAAATCGTTTTGGAACCAAACGGGTTTTTGAGGTTTACTGGGCGCCCAGTATTTGGTGTTTACTACTAAACAGACAATGTACCAATCGTTCACTCTGATCCAAGAATAATGCATCTGGAAGATAAATGATTTTAGGCGAGTTGATGAATTTTTGTTGAAGTGACTTACAGAGTCGGTTTTGTTTGTCTGGTGTACTCCCTTTTTTTCTGTTAATAATCTAATTTTCAGCGTTTTAACGTCTGGTATTTTCTCTAGTTTTTCTAAAGCAACGGAAACGGGGCTGCTGGTGCCAGTTATTCTTGAATAATAAGGATGATATACCACGTTGCCGTTCAAATCCATTAAGAAAACGTAGGAATACCCTTGACCTCCTCTGTAATAGATAATATCTTCTGCTAGATTTGAGAAATATACGTCGATGCCGATCATGAAGAAATTGTTTCTTCGCTTCCATCCTTTCGTAAACGATACAATAAGATCTAAAAATATAACGATTAAAATTTATTCGTATCTACAATGTTTTAAATTTACCTTTCTCGTTTTTATCCCAAGTGGGTAAATGAATTTTAGTACCCAATTTGAAGTTCGATAAGGGATTAAAAATACTATAAAAACGCTCTACAGCGAAAGGTATACTTTCTGTTCTATCAACTTTAAGCATAAGTCCCATTTTTCTATGAACATCCCTCTGATAAGGTATGTTGTATTTTGAATAATTTTGATACGCGATATCACATAAAAATTGCGGCTCGTACACCACCGGCTTCAATTCTAAAATCAAAACATCAATATAGCAATCAGCTGAAGATTATTCCACATTGCATTACCATCGATTATTGCACAAGTGTTAATAACAAGCGAAACATTATGAGTTTTCGTGAATTGTTCAACCATCCCCAAAACTTGTTTCGGCTCCCTCAACGAAGATAACAACCCTCTACTAACGTATAATATCATAACCGTTTCCTCTTTCAAAAAAAACAAACTTTCACGTACAACCTCAAAGGCTTTTTCGAAACTTAACGTGTGATTTGTCAAACCTGCAAGTAAAAACTAGATGATTTGTTCCTTATGTTTAAAGGCCACTTACCTGATTCACTAATTATAGCATCAATATACTTTTCTAAATTTTTAGTATAACTTTGAGTGGCACTTTTCAGTCTTTGTACATTGTTATTGAAACTTTGTTCGTGCAGTCTATTGCAGTCATGTTCGAGGTAAGTACAATTAGAGCTCACAGTTAAAACAGATATCCTGTCGTTTCGCTCCAATGCCGATAACATTTTCTTAGCTGATAATCAGAAAGTATTTAGCATATTAAAATATTTAACGAAGGTATTCTTACCAACTAATTTCAGCAAATTGAATTGAGCAGAACTCATCGAGCCTCCTATGTCTAGCACAAGAACAACATTTTTTCTAAGGTAAATATTTCGTTCTAAATAGTTGTTCCATATGAGTTTTTCGTCGCATTCTGTACATTGTAGAAACGGTGTTCTGGGAAGCGCCTTCACTTCTATATCAGAAATGAAATATTGCCTTCTCACCCCGTCGGTCATGCTGTTTAAATTTTTCTTCATTTTATCTAAAACTAATTCAAACACTTTATGTTTTATATGACCAATATGTCTATTGCTTACTGTTCATAGTGCTGAATGGACTCTTGTACGAATTGCTAGTATTTAAAGGATTCGCCCATGAACTCTTCAAAAAACATGGCAATACAGACGAGTTCAAGCTGGTAACATTTTCATAGGTCAATTTTGCATCAATGATCATGTAAGTGCTTTCTAATACTGAAAATAAGTCCGAAATTTTTATGTCGATTTTATGTGCAATGTTATTCACGATCTTGATCGTATCCAAGCTGGGCTGAGTAAACATTAAGTTTTTGTATAAGATCTGAAATAGTTATTAACAATTAAAATTTGCAAAGCTACATTGTTGTGTTACATACCGATATAAATGACACTCCCAGTTCATTATTCTTTATCAAATCTATATCCTCCTGTAAATTATTTGCTACATCTTTTATGTCCCAATGGGCAGTAGCACATGATATTAAAATAATAAAAACCGAAATTTCTAGTTTACAAAGTTCCATTTTGTACGGGATACATTCATGTTTAACCCTGCGTTTATAAATATACGAAAACAACACTTTTGTGAACGTTCGCCTCTTTTAATTCCATTTTAATTCAATAAAATGTAAAAATGTGTTTACAATAATAAAAATAAAATTGACACTATTGGCAAATGGCAACTGACATTTGACAGCCAGTAGTGCATAAAACACTAAAATTCCCCAGAATCTAATCGAATATCTGGGTGTTTTGGCTGAATAATAGTTGCAACGTAGGCTAAATTTAGTATAAAAGAAGCAAATAGTAAATTTTAAATTGACTTTTGATGTTATTTGACTTGTGCTTGTGAAAAATGTTTTGACTTTTCTGAACGTGAACCGGATAATTTCATTTTACTATTTTGTATACAAAAATTTAATTCAAAATGAGCGACATGGGCCCTGGTGAATATTTCGTTTGCGGTGGCTTCGGGGGAATATGCACCGTAATCGTGGGACACCCCTTGGATACTATAAAGGTACATTAACGTTAATTTTTAATAGGTTATAACCCTCTAAAAAGTGGTTCACCTTATTTTAAATATATTTCTTTACATAAAAAGTATAACTTAAGTGAATAATGGTTAATTTTCGCTAATGTCAGTTTCCTGTTTCGTGGGTCAAAGTACAGTTAATCTAATTATGCCTCCATTAAATTTTATCGTCTGTGATTTATATTTTGTACCCGCTAAACACTATATTTTTTATCAAAGAATGTATAGAATAATAAACATATGTCTAAGGTGTCAGATTTTAATTCTATTCCGTTAATCAATTATGTTGTTTAATTAAAGGTCCGATTGCAAACAATGCCGATTCCCAAACCCGGGGAGGTACCCTTGTATGCAGGAACGTGGGATTGCATGAAAAAAACTGTTAGAAATGAAGGTTTCAAAGGTCTTTATAAAGGCATGGGCGCCCCATTGGTAGGCGTAGCCCCGATATTCGCGATATCCTTCATGGGTTTCGGAGTGGGTAAAAAAGTCTTTGGCCCCAACGACGGCACTTGCCTGAATTACAAGCAATTATTTGCCGCTGGGGCCTTCTCGGGAATATTCACCACCTTAATAATGGCCCCGGGAGAAAGAATTAAATGCTTGCTGCAAATACAACAGGGATCAAACACTAAAATGTATAACGGGCCTCTTGATGTTGTTAAAAAGCTTTATAAGCAAGGAGGAATTTCGAGTATTTACAGAGGAGCTGGGGCTACTCTGTTGAGAGGTGAGTGATTTACAAGCTGGCGTTTTTTTTTATAATTATTTATTACAAAAGAAAGGTAAATTACATATTTGCAATGGTGCAAGAACTCAAAAACCACTATTAGTTTCATACAATTATCAATGAATTAATAAATTAAAGTTAAAAATAATGGGATTTATATCTCATTGCTTATGTCAGTTTTTTGCTTAATTTTTCTCAAACGTTTCTTGATTTTTCTGTGCTTAACGCCATGTTTGTTGGATCTGTGGGAATCGTGTTTCGTCTCCAAGCTGTTGCTTTCATTTTCATTCGTAATGTTTCCATTGTCCATGTCGTGGAGTTTCTGCATCTTGAGCTTCCTCTTCTTCTTCATGAGCTTGCGTTTGATCATCTTGTACTTCAGTTTCTCCAGCTTGGTTAAATTGTGATAGGACTCCGGCAATGCAGTCGTGATGGTGATTTCCGAAGACTTTTGAGAAGCGTCTGCATGTTTGTTGTGTTTCCTCAGCTTCGGCTTGTAATCGGCGCATTTGAGGATTCTCCTCATGGCGTGGAACACGTTCCAGTTGACAAATTGCTCGGGCTCGGAGCATTTCGGGGCGATTCTGTTCTCGTAAACGTACTTGTGGCTGAATCTGCTGTCTTTGCCGCACGATATACCTTTGTCGTTCGAATAGTCGCACGGTTGGGCTGATTTTTGTTTGATTTTATTGACTATCATCGGCTTCCAGTCGCTCATTTCGCACGAACAGTGCCAAGGGTTGTCGTTTAATCGCAGCAACTTCGGCAGGATTTTAGAGAAGATCTCCTTGGGCAGTTCTTTGAACTTGTTGCCGTTTAAATACAACTCCTTGATGTTGGTCAGATGATCGAAAGTACCAGGCGGGACGTATTCCAGCAAATTCTTAGACAAATCCAGATACAGCAATTTATTCAAACCAATAAACCCGTCCATGGAAATGTTGACTATCTGGCAATTGCTCAACACCAGCGTTTTGATCTGTTTGACTTCCAAAAACGCGTCGTATTGAATTCGCGTTATGTTCCCCGTCAGTATCAATTCGTCCAAGTTCGGCATGCCGGTGAAGAGGTCCCGCTTGAGCAGCTCCATCTTCAAATTGTTCAACGTCAGCTTCCGCAATTGCTCCAGGCCGAGCAGCGAGTTCGTGACCAAAGTCAGCGGAATGGCGTCGCTGCCGATTATCAGCGAGTTGGTCGTGTTCATGACCTCGAACGTGTTGGAAAATATCACGCTGATGGGATTGTTCGCGAAATTCGCCAGCTTCAGCTTCGGAAACGGTGGGAACGAGAGTTCCGAAAGTTGCGTGAAGTTGTTGAAGCTGAAATCGACGTACTCGAGCTGCAACAAGCCGGCCAAATCGGTTATTTGGATGTCTAATAGGTTGTTGTGCGCCAAAGAGAGAGTTTTGAGGTTAGGGGTGCCGTAGAAGGCGAAAGGCGGGATGAATTTCAGGCTGTTTTTCTCCAAAATTAGGTACAAGAGTTCGTGCAAACCGTCGAACATTTCCCAGTTGATGTTGCGCATATTACAATTGCTGATTCTTAGTAATAATAGTTTCTTGAAGCCGATGAACAGCGGCATCTCTCCGTTTTCCTCCCGCTCCTTTTTGAAGACCTCGTAAGGCACCACGACCTCGTCGTTGCTGCTTTTCTGCACCAACGTGATCTCGTGCGGGGCGTTTTCGAATTTCTGCGAGAACTCGAACGTCACGTTCTCCATGTTGACCAGCTTCAGGATTTCCGTGATGTACTCCTTGGAGTTCCTGATCAAGATCCGCTCTAAATTCAGGTACTTCAGGTCCGGAATGGCCACGTCGATCTCGCAAATCAGATGGCTCATCAGCGGCTGGTTCTGAAGGTTAGCGCCTATCAGCTCGACTGTTATTAGGTTCTCGAACCGTCGCAGAGAGCTCGTCCTGATCGTTTTGTTGCCCGATTCGTAGCCTTGGATGATCGTGAGGCTCTCGATGTTTTTCGGCAGGGTTTCCAGGAGCTGCAGCGGGTCGGTTTCCGTTTGGAGGATGCATATCGCCGAGCGGATGATCGTGGGGCCGTGTTCTTCTAATATTTCGAAAGTATCGGCGATGTCCTCGTTGAGAATCTGAAAGTTGCGTGTGAATTAACGGTTGGTTTTTATGTAGTTGTTGGAGACTTACTTCGTTATTTTCTATGTTGCCGATTTCTCCGGGTACTGGTTTTTCTTTGGTTTTTTGCATGAATCTGTATATGGCGGTTTCTGTTAGGTGCTCTAAGTGGCAGGTGCATATTAGCGGGCAATCTGTTTCTTGATCCCATAGTCCAAATATCTAAAATTGGGTAGTAAAAATCAATTTTTACAAACAGCGAACGAGAGTATGAATTTGATAAAGTTTTCAAAGAGTGTGCTAATATAGAGAAATTAGGAACTTCCACTTACCCCCGTGATTGAATTTAATACCACACACACAAGAACCGCATATTTGAACATTTTCGTAAAACTGTAGAAATTCAACTACACATATTCATGATAATGTGCAGGATGTTCACCCCACTCATTTCCTGATAATTGAAAAATTTATCTGTTCTATATTGTCTATATACAAAGATGCTCTGAAAAGCAGGTAGATACATCCCTATGTTAAAATTTCTAGCTATTTTTTCCCTAAATATATTTCGCATTATTTTGCAACAAAATGAATTTGCATTTTTAGATATTCCCGCTAGCGGAATGTATTTCCTAACGTACGAAGCTATCAAGGAATACCTCACCAAAAACGGCGAGTCGCCTAGTATTTTAGGAACCATCATTGCTGGCGGAACTGCCGGTACTGCCAATTGGTTGATAGGAATGCCTCCCGATGTGCTAAAAAGCAGGTTACAAACAGGTAGATTTCTAAATTTTCCACTCTCTCTTAATCTCGCTAATCGTTCGCTAACATTTCAGCTCCCGAAGGAACTTATACAGGAATCCGAGATGTCTTCAGACAGTTAATAAAGTCCGAAGGACCTGCAGCTCTCTATAAGGGACTGATTCCCGTGCTGCTTCGAGCGTTTCCGGCGAATGCGGCTTGTTTCGTGGGCTTTGAGCTGTGCAAAAATTTTCTGGATTTTGTTTTCCCTAAGAAACTGAAACCGAGAACTCCAGAGCAGCTGGATTTCAAGACGGATTAGCAATTAAACGGGTCGGATGATTTTATAGGGGTATTATCGCTGAAGGGTGCAGCTGTTTATTAAAATTGTTATAATGTTGAAAAAATGAACGAATGTGATGTTTGAATTAGTAGCAGTATTAATGATGCGATATATTAATGTTTCGTTGTGAACGTAACTAGTGTTTTGTTCACGTCACATTTGTTCATTTTTTGTCTGATGTAGTACTTGTAAATTATTAAAACGTGGAAGGTGGCCTTATCTCGACATATTTTTAGGTCTAAAATTAAAAATCGAATTTTTGAATGTTGAACATGTCATAGTTTATTTTTCACATCACGCACAATTTTTATAAATTGTACCAGTGCTTCCCTTTCTTAAGAAACTGTATTGTTACATAATATTTGGCAAATTTTTAATATTGTAATGTTATTATCGAATAAATGATTTTCTATATTCATACAATCGTTTTTTAAATTTATTAGAAGAAACGGTGAGATATAATTCAAAATTATAGTTAAAATTTATCTTTGACTGGTATCTCTGCTCTTATACACTATTCCACGGCTCTTCATTTCTCGAATTATACTATTAGGTAAACGGCCGGATACTGATATAGCATATACCCCTCGACAAAACCGATCTAAAACAATTCATTTAATATAGCATGCTTGTTACAAATTACTCGTTAAGGTAAATAACTTACTAATTCTCTGCCATTTGGCCACCCAGCTATCTTCTGGACTCATTAGGGAGATCATTCTACAACATAGGTAACTATTAAGTTTCTAATTCTTCGAGTGAAATTATCTGTTGATTAATTAAACTTACCCGTCAAAATTTGAACTCGTACAGTCATACACGTTATCGTGATTGTTTTTCATTCGTAAGAATTCATCGCAATTGTCGCAGCCTTCGTTTTCAAATTGATCAAAAGACTATAAGAAAAAAATAGTGAGACACGAACGTAAATTATATCAAAAGTGAGGTTACTTTATACTTACTTTTATTAACGAGCATACTAGGCAGGCACGAAGACCTCTTAAATCTTTCGGAACTGTTTCTAGCGTCATTTTTATTGAAATAATTTACAATATACGTCGGGATTGTAATCCTGTTGATTCTCTGAGAATGAAATATGTTTGTTGTTGGTTGTAAAAAATGACAATTGGCAATAATGACGTATGTCACGTGTCACGTCAACTTATTTTAATGTCGAGGCCTCTACTATTAGGAATATTTGGCCATCAAATTCCGACGGCTTATTTATTTATAATTTTACAAAATTCTTACTTGAGATTTAAAAGTGACTAAGAACTTTATTAGAAATAATAATTTTCAAAAATATAACATTATAATGTTACTACGCAACTGATGTTATTACGTAAAATAATACAAGTTAGATAATAAAAAAAATAAAGCGTAAACCAAAGAGCGCATTTGTCAACTCTTGCTTAGAGAATCGTTATTTTTTTACAACAAAAAATCGTTTAAATCATGAGAGGTTCTCGAACGCTTGATTAAACAGAAGGAACATCCGATCTCGTATAATTAATTTCCCACAAACGTTTGTTCTTGACAAGTCCCAGTAATATCTTACGTTACCTCAGATAGATAATCTTCAACTACTTACATCTCAAACATCTCAAAGGACTGTCAACAGATAATAGAGCCTAGTCGTTAATAGAACTGGATAATAGCTTCTAGATATCGCCTCCTAAAGAAAATAATCTTTTTTCGCGAATATTAATAACCGTCCCAGTCCGCAGGAAAAATAATTATGTAGGTATATAACAATGCGTTCGGGAATCCTGAACCGCGATTCATTACGTATTTTTCAATAAAGGCCGGATCCGCAACCTTACAAAACAGAAAGAAATGTAATTTTGACTCCACTTTGAACGCCTACTGGGTAAATAACGACGATTTTGTCCCTGAACGATTTTAATCAGAGGTTGATTAGATCTAGAAATTAATTGGTATTTTAGGGTTTGGAGATTAAAACCCTAAGGGAGTAGACGCGTTACTCTTATTTGCATCTAAATTTCGGAATAAATCCTTCAAAATCCTTCTTATTGGTACTGAACACTCAAGTTGCACGTTCTTACATCATTATTTGATAAATTATATAGATTTTGCGTTAGTACTTACAATTAGATAACGTGCAAAAAATTACCAAGGAAATAAGTAAATTTCATCCTTATTCCGGGTTACTCCTAGACGTTCAAAGTTTGACCTTATCATAATAGTAATTGTGTTTTAATAAAAGGTAAATTTGAGATAGTGAAAGTAAAATTAGAATAGAATACTGCGAGCGATTAAAGTTCCTTATTATGGTAAACTTTCTACGCGATATCAGGAAAAATATCATTACGATATCTAGTATTATCAACGATAAAACCGTTCAGTTTTTATCTCTTAGTGTAGGTTCGTAAATATGTGGCTCAAAATTTAGTAGTTTCTTGGCCGGTAGACAGAATGGTTAAGAATTTTGAAAGAGGTATTTGTTAATTTGTATAAAAATAAAATGTTATCTTACAGTGTCTCGCTCTTATCAGCAAGAAGTGGATAGTGTACGCTCAGATTCTGGAAAGATTCATTACCATATTAATTACAACTAATAAGTTTGAATAGTTTTAAATAAGTTTACAGTGTATGTTGTGCATATGGACAATTATTCAATGTTAATTAATATTGAAGAAGAACTAGAAGCTTGAAATGGTAAGTTGTAAATTCTATTTTCGTGTTTGTGAAAATTATAAATGTTTTTATTTTTTTAAAATATTATCTTTGGAAAGTTTATGCGTAGGTATACAAAAAAATAGGAACGATAAGTGTACTAGGTACATACATATTTTGAAATTTTAATAAAACACTATACTTATTCATGACTAACTATTCTCTAATTATTCAGGTAGCCTACAGGTAATTTAAAAATTATGGTTGATTGATAGAATTAAAAGAAACTGATTAGGTAATTACCAAATAGTCCAATTTGGAAAAATTGGCTTTAATTGAAAATTACCAATAGTTACAAAAATCAATAAATACTAGAAATTTGAACAGCGATATACAATTTGCATACAGATAATTCCTAAACCAAATTTTTGATTCAATAGTTGATAAATGCCTGTTTAAATATTGAATAGTATACAACAAACATTTTAGTATAGTTTTTCTTCGCAAACGTTTGTTTATTCGTTTATTATTTTCAATTGGATAATTTGAAAAATATATTAAGCATACATTTGACACTAATTGCGGCAACAAAAACATATTTTGCATTCTAATAAACAATTTGGCGGCACTATCTCAGCAAATAAGTAAATGCAATAAAATGTGTTGTTCAGTATTCACAAACGCATTTATTAATTTAGAGACATTTTCCGATCAACATACATATAAAGTCGATAGCAATTCGTGATAAAAGGGTCGCCGAACTTTACTTGCAAAGTTCTCATTATCCATTTTAGTAAAACATTCGTTTACAAAAAAAACATTAACGTATGAAAACTAAATATTCTCTTATATACGCGCTCTAAACTGAAAGTTGGAAGTGTTACATTTCATCATTGCAAAGGATAACTTTACATTAGAAGCCACAGAAGTTATGTCAATGTTCCCGTTTCATACCGGAATCGGTCAGTTTTGAAACCCTATCATTTCATTTTAAACCTTTCTCATAGTTTCCGCGTTTATCTGACATTTCAATTCGTGAAGGCTGTTTAAGGCCGACCCCAGCGAAAATTATCTTCGGCGGAATTTTCATATAAATTCGATTACAAAAAATATCGATTTTAATGAAAAAACAGAGGTGCCAAAATACTGAAGGAAATCCCCAATAACGACCGAGTGTTTTCGGGGTGGTAAATAATTAGCTTTTTCAAAGCGTTCATAAAACTTCCTATGCACCGGCAATTTCCGTCTAATTAACCACCGCTCAATAACCACGCGAAAATTACCTTTCGATAAAATCGAATAAAAAAAAACGCTGTCCCACCTAAATCCACGTAACAGCAGCCCTCCCCACCATCATTAGCAGGTAATTAATTCCCTGAAACCCTACGTTTTCAGTCTTCGGCCGACGCTACTTGTCGCTAGGTATGTCTCGAGCTAACAAACAGACCAGAATAAAATGAAAAGTGACACCGACAACGAGCATACCGAAGAGAAAGACAAATCGAAGGGCAAGCGGCCCAAGAAGCTGGTGATACCGCCGAAATCGAAGCCGAAGAGGTCGTTCATCGCGAAGAAGCTGAAGCTGAGGAGCAAATCGTTGCAGGAGAAGCAAGAAATCAAGGAGATCTCCCGCATACCGCTGCCCAATACTTCTTCGGACGAGCGGCAGACGCCCGAAGGGGATGAGAATCTTATGTTGACCAGATCCGCTTCGGACACCAACCTGCAGGAATCCTGGAAGAGCGCCGAAAAGGTGGAGGAAAGTAGTAAAACGGACTTGCAGCCGGAACGCACAAAGTCCTTAGAGGATTTCCAAAACATGCCTGCTTACGGGGAGTTGATTGTAGATCAGAACCCGCTACCGTCGACGGTAAATTCAAAACTTATCTATTACATTTCGAGCACAATCCGATTCGCACTTTCCATTTGCACTTCGCCCGTTAATTAATCGCATCACCTCGCTCGCAATTGGCCGTAATTCAGTCGAAAAATTTCAACACACTCCCGAACTGGATTGGATTTAATGAGCTTTCAACTTTCGTATGAGAAAAACTTTTACTTGGCACGACTGTTGTCGATTTCGAAATTAAATTAAAAAGCAAATTAGATTTTCGAAAAGCGAATCAACTCGGCCGAAACTTTTTTCCATCCGGCCCTTTTATCGGGGCGAAAAAAATGTAAACGAATGGATTATGTATTTAAAATGGAATTATTTCGATACGTTATTTAATCAGGTATTGATGAAACCCAATTCGCTGGCGTGTTTACGACGTTGGCTATGCAAATTGATACGATTTAAATAATTTTTTCGATATAAAATTACATTGGTGTAATAGAGAGCTTTGCAGAAAACACCTGTTGTATTAGAACTTTAATCAATATTCGCCGACTAAATTGGAAACACAAATTTCGCAATTGTCCAATTCATCTGAATCTAACTGCGCGCACAAAAGCCTCATTGAAGAATGGCATGAATCGGACATAATTTTACATGAAAAACCGAAAACCTAATCAGTATGCTCGCCGTGTTATCAAAAAGTTATTCATATAGGGACGTTGGATAAACAAAAATGAAGTAAAAGTTGAAATTAGTTCCGATTCAAACTCCATGATACATCATCATCTACACAAATGTGAAAAACGTGTAAGCTAATTACAAGCGTAGGATTTTCAAATTTTTTTAATACTACGATGCAATGTTTACCACCCGAATGAAATATTAATAATTTTTAATTGCTTTTCAGTCAAATGCAAATCAGTCGACGGGCAAACTAAAAGATCACTTGTACAAAATCTTGGTAATTGGAGACGTGGGTACCGGAAAAACATCGATAATCAAACGCTACGTTCACCGTTTCTTTACCCAACATTACAGGGCTACGATCGGAGTGGACTTTGCGTTGAAAGTAATCAACTGGGACGAAAATACTCTAATAAGACTTCAATTATGGGATATCGCAGGTACTTACCTAATTAATTAACCCGATTGATCAATCCGTATGCAGTCTTGGCTTCAGTTACAGCTTGTGACAATTCCTGGCGTTTTTATTTTCAGGTCAAGAGCGTTTCGGAAACATGACGAGGGTTTATTACAAGGAAGCAGTCGGGGCTTTTATTGTTTTCGATGTGACTCGCAAGGAAACATTCGATTCCGTTGTTAATTGGAAGGCAGATCTGGATAGCAAGGTGCAATTTCCTGATGGATCGAAAATACCCTGCGTTCTGCTGGGCAATAAAGTAGGTAAATTTTTTACTCGAAAAATTTTGATTTATCAGCGATGTATCGCAAGTGTAGTTTTTCATAAGAGTAATTACTCCTTCAACTTTGCGGGGTGTATAACGTGCCGGTATATAAATAGTGAGCGATTTATTTCCGCGTTCAATAACTGAATGGCTTTGTTCGCCGCCGGCTGTTTTTCCTTATACGCGATTTTATTAATTCCAACACAATGGAGAGGGAGAATTCGTCGCAGATAAATTTTACAATAGAAAATATCTAGTTTTTTGTTTTACCTACACTGTGTCGCGTTATTTTGTTTTCCTTTATGCCGGAGAATCCTCAATTTTTCCTCCAGCTATATAACGTTATGTATTGATTTTCAGGTGGGATTTATTTACCACAACGCGACAACGGTCGAAATCCGATTGTGTTCAAAATAAATACAAAATGTTGTTATTTTTGTCATATTATATTCCTTGAATCGCAGCTTATGCCAGCTATTCCTGTATTTAAAATCCTTCAAAGATTCCATCCTACATTCAACATATGCATAAATTCAAATCGAAATTTTTTTTAGTGCGACCGGCAGAAGGAAGGCATCGTAGCCTCACCGAGCAAAATGGAGGAATATTGCAGGGAGCACGACTTCAACGCCTGGTTTGAAACGTCTGCTAAAGACAACATAAACATTGATGAAGCTGCCAGATGCCTCGTGGAAAAGGTACGGAAGGATTAATTTCATGTAGTAATCAGTGCAGTGTGAGGAATATTAATTGGGGGAATCCCCTCGTGCGCGGTTTGCTTCTGCAACAGACTACTTTTTTTGTTTGTTTTAGATTTTGGCTTGTGATTCTCTGCTGGAAAGCGATTCCAAAAGGCCTTCGGATCAATTTGCCCTCACGAAAGACGGCAATAGGCCAGGGACGAAGAACTGCGCTTGTTATAGAAAATAAACGCCGCAGTGTTGTCTTGTTAATTTTGTTTTTATATAATACCATGGTCGCGAATATTTCTGTTTCGAGTACATTGTAGGCGAATTGTAAATAAATATTGCAATCAAACACTATTCGTAGTGTGTACTTAAATATTTTTTACCGTTTAATTGCTTCTATTCTGTTTCTATTTTTGTATTTTTTAAATTTGCGCTGGCGTGTACCCAAATAGACACTTTTAATAAAATTTCTCTATTCAAATTTGCACATTTTTTAACCACTCCTTGATGAAATATATCTAAATTTGATTGACAACGGGAGCGTCGAGGTTTTTCGTTTCGAATTCTAGAAACATAAAGGTTCAGTAATGAATCCCAATTTAAGCTGTCAATTTACTGAAATTTATCTCGAAAAATGTACATACCTACCAGTGTATTTGTTTATGAAAAAAGAAAGAAAAGAAATGAAGGAGTTTGCTTCTGTTTGCCAGCAGTGTTGCGGTAACAGTTGACTAAGAGATAGGTGGTGACAGGGACGTCTTAACAATTTTATTTCAAACTGAATTTCCTCTAATAATTTACTGATTAATATTTAAATTATGTATTTTAATTGTGATTAATTACTTCATATTTGTACCCGATATAAGTATAATGTAAAATAGATATGCTGATGGAACAAGAAAGCTACACATGAATTTCGATGTAAATTTATAAAAAGTTATATTTTTGGTGTTATTAATTCGTGTGAGTAAATTGAGCGTTGTATTATAAGATCGGTCCTGGTTAAATGTAAGATGTAAAGGAATTTTTTAACCAGTTTACTGGCATCAGATCTCGAAAGTACCTAAGTAAAACGGTAGAAAAATCAGCGGAGATTTTTGCGAGATCGAGTTCGAGAGACTTGACTCGATCGTCATTGTTTCGTATGCATAATATGAAATAAATCCGGCTTTTGTTTGGTGCGTTTTTAAGGAATCTTGCATGCAAAATGGCGGATTCGGCTGATTTATTTAAATTGATTAAACGATTAATGTCTTGGCCTTCCGACGTTTCTTGTCTGCAGCGGACAAAGAATCAATCTGTTTGAATCATTATACCATTGTAATCATGACCATGTATGTTGATTTGCAACTACAGATATCCATGTTACATTATAACGATGTCTCGTCTCTTGTTATTCGTCGTTTTTACTTTTAAAACAGGAGGAGATGCATCAAAGGTTCGATACTAACTGTCCGCTCTTCCATCCACGTCTTTTTACTTTCCCTTATCATATTAACCGCGCATTGCGGCTCTACGTATGTATGTATGTATAATAACGAAAGTATATTCCTATCTTGATGATGTCGTGTATCGGAATTTTCAATAAAATCTGCTTATTATTAAACCCATTCTACTATTAAATATGCTTTTTTATTCTTGTATTCATTCGAAAATACACCAATTTAATATTGTTTAGTTTCGATTTGATGTCGCAAAGTTTCTGGGAATTTGTAATTGCCTATAGTTGCTTTTGGAGAGGAATTTGAAAGCGATACCAGATTAAATGAATTATAGAAAGAAGCAGATAATTCCACAAGAATAAACCAATACACCAACAGCAGCCACCAGCACCTAGATTTTGTTTTGTATTTTATTAAGGGAACGGTAATTTGGTTGTGGCTATTTAACCTGTCTAATTAACTCAAAAAATCTATTCTTTAATTAACAGGTTTTATTCACAAACAAAATACTATAAAACACATAATAAAGACATCTTTTCAATACAAATTACAATTTTTACAAATTTTACGTTCCGTGATGCAAATGTCAAATTTGACGTTTGCAAACGTCAAAAAATATCATCGCGATTTAAACGAAAATTTAACGATTAAAGTTTCTTACAGTGCAATATTTATGGTTATTAAACTATTAGTACAAAATGGTATAAATTGATGTCCTCAACGAAGGTGCAGTAGCCACTTCTTTCCTGAAACGCCGTTCGGGCGAGTTCGTGCTCTTCGCGAGTTCAACGGCTTCACGCGGCGGCCATTAGATGTCTCTCCGGCAGTGCTTAGTCAGTATTCCAGCGAGTCGAGCCACAGTGTTTATTGAGTTTTCGTTCGCGTTGGACGCGGCGCCAGGCTTGCGGAAATCCATTCAATAAAATCACTGAGGGCAACTGAAAACAGCGTGTATCATCAATGGGAAGCCGCGCGATTTCCAATCGCAATTAGGGCCAACGCCGACCAGGACCGAACGGACGATTGAACGGGCAACGTTTCGCAACTGTTCTAACCTCTTTTAAAACATTTCGAAGAGTTCCAAATAAAAACATCGGACATCGTGCGTTCGGTGAGGACGAACAACAATAATAGACGAATCACTCTAAGTGTGTAGCTGTGGTTTTTGAGTGTTAATTGTGCCGCGTGTTTCGGCCGGATAAAAACAATAAATATGAACTGTGATCGCAGCTTTCTTCGACCGAATAGCCAATAGAAGGTAAGTTCTCGCCGATTAGTTCTTAATGCGATCTTTTTTTATATAGTTCTGTTACGTTGTGACGTTGTAGTGGAGTTATAACAGTTATTATAACCTCAAAAATTAGGTAAATAATGCATGAAAATGGCTTCCGTCGGATAATTGTTATTGGTCCGATTGTTTTCATCTGTTTTAATCAACACAAAACACAACGTCTAATTAGAATAGTCGTAGTTAATTGAACAAAAGCCGTTGACCTTCGAAGTGCTGGAGATTTCATTTTGTTTACTTTTTCGAGTAGTAAAGGTGTAATACCTACGGTGTGTAAGTGCGAGATGATACACAGGTAATTGCAATGCGAACTCCACTTGAATAAAATAACTTTCAACTGGCCGTCCGCTTTTGATTGTATTTTCGGTTTTGCGTTGAAAAAGAATTCGCGCGGTCTTTCAATTACCCAATAATGCTTTTATCACTTCAAAAACGTTCTAATTATCCCGTCCGAAACAAAATATTCGCTTTGCTTTCGCTAAAAACATAAATGGAAGTTAGTCGAATTATGTTAAAGCATTTCCGTTTTATTCCATTATTTACTCTGCAACTTTCGAGACTAAACAACAGAACTGTTAACGGGTCTTTTCTATTTCGCTCGAGCGTTTATATTTTTCCTTTGGAAGATTGTCCTTATAAAAAATTAATCGCGTTTCGCTTCGGAGTCTAATTAAAACAAACTAATGATAATGTTTAGGCGAGTTGGTGCAAGAAAGTCCCCCTTTTTAATAGACAAAAGCGGATTACCTACGTCGAGAAATTCCGGTCTCAGGTAAAAGGGAAGACGCTCGTTTAATATTTTCTATCACTTATTGCACCTATACCCGTTTTCTGATGGAATAATATTTTATCTTCACAATTTATTCGAATTATTACCAATACTAAATATATTGGTCGGTACCTGTACTACATGAGCATATGTAAAGGGCATTGTATTTATACGGAATGATAGACTAACATCCAGGAGCAGATTAGGCATTCAAAATCAGATAGGTAGCGTTTGTAGGCCCATAATCGCAATCGTGACGAACAAATCATTCTGTAGATAAACAATGGAGCTAGCAAGGAAATTGAGTGAGGAATACCGAGAAAAATGTACATGTGGGAGGAACAGAAATTAGATATTAAACTAATAATAATAAACCATTAATTAAAATGACGTATTCTTTCGGCCTTTACAAACTTTCGAATTACAAGTTTTTTCTATTAGTCTATCATTTCAACGTGCATGACGGTAAAAACGGTCTAATTTCGATTACACAAGTCGCATTTTTTACGTGTAATAACACGAATTTTGTCTTCAAGAAATTGAAACGTGTCAACAAAATGAAGCGCCACTACAAAGTATGATAATATTGGATTATATTTACTCTTGAATTTACTACTTACACAATCCCTTGTTCTCAAAAAAGCACCTCAATTATTTACAGTCACCTTTAATACTTAGCTTCTACTACTTGTAGAATAACTACTACTACTTGTAGAATTTTTAATAGTATCTACTGTAATACTAGAGTATTCATAAATGTCTTTATAAACTGAATTTAAATTATACCTACCGGCGCTAAAAAAATTAAAGTGAAATTACTGTGCCCGGTCAAATTAAGGGTTCGAACTTAACCACCTTAATGTCCTAATAAAAAAAATCTATTCCCTGCGTGGTGAAATGAGGCGAAATAACAGACAGGTGATGGTCTAGTGACCAGACAATATCTTTTTATTACACAAGCTTACTTCCTGTTTGCAGCTAATAAAAAATGCTAAAGCCGTTTTTGAAATGTTTGTTGTTTTCACCCCGACTTCGATGGTCACTCTCGCGGTGTTAGATTTCTTATCTCTTGTATGTACTTACCTTCCTACCCGTGCCCGGTGTCGGAGCAGAATTTTTAATAATTCAGCATCGCTGTAAGGGCAGCGATTGAATTTATTGCAGCGAAACTTTTAATAAAAATCTCCGTTCATTTCGAGTTTGAACATGATACGGTTGGAGAGGAATATTATCAATCGTATACCTTTAGGGCGCGGAATTCGATATTTATGGGACAAAAAGCTTCTTAATAAAATATTGGGATTTATTACTAGAAAAATATGGAATTCTGAAATTAAGTAGGTACAGAAATCTTATAAGGTTGTCTGTTTATCAAATTTGCGAAATTCCTTTGTGTTTATATTGTCGATTCCAATATCCCATATATTCTTTCATAAATGTGTGTTTGCGAAATGGAAAAAGTAGCGGGATAATGCTTTTAGTTATTTTCATTTGGAGCCAAAAATTCCAATTAATTTTAGAAATACGGGTAAGTGAATACAAATTTCATTCGTCTTTCGTAAATGAAAAGTATTTCCAATTTCAATTTCTGTTGAATGTAGGTAGAATACATTGGATATGGGACTTTAAAATAATTTAACTGGATATCCAGGCTTTCGGTCTCGGTATTTCATAATAGTTTATATGTATGTTTCCCGATGTTTTGGATTGTCTCCAAATTGATGTAGAGTTTGGTCTTAAGTATAGCGTATTTATTTATTTCATTCTTTTTCTGTCTGGCATTTGAAGAATTTTTCCAATGTTGCGTTTTCAAATCCCTCGTTTTAAGCGGCTTTACAACAACTGCTAAGATTGAATTACAAGACGAAAACAATAAAGTATGTAAAATATGATAATATTTTGATTTATGGCATTGAATAATTTATTATTTAATAGTTATGTAACTGTTTTCATGGGTTGAATAAAAAAATTACTCCGTGGAT